GCTATTTGGACTAGCAAGCGCACCGTTTACCTTCAGACGACTGATGACTCTATCACTAAGAATCTTAAAGAATGTAGAGGTGTAAGTTGATGATCTCGTCATCTACAGTCAGCATGTAAGCGACCATGTGAACCATGCTGAAGATGTGTTCAAACGCATTGAAGAGTTTGAACCGCGCATCAACAAAACAAAATTTCAAATAACCAAGTGGAGTGTTACGCTATTGTGTCATAAAGTAGGCAGCGGTGAGATAGAACTACTATCTTGTCGATGACAACCATTGCGGCCCCGAGTTCCAAGAGAAAGCCAAGGCAGTTCTTGCGTAGAGCATTGTTTTACAGTCAATATGTGAAAAACATCAGGGAGATAACAGCCTCTGTAGAGGCTATTAGGTGAGTCGAAGCCTGTTTGTTCGGAAGATTCGCAGAAGATATCCAACAGCATCAAACGTCCCTAGGACAACCAGAAAATGACGCTAAAACTGCCTGTGCCATGAAAACAGCTTACGGTGTGTGCAGATGCTAGTGACTGCGGCATTTTTGCAGCACTTAAACAGTATGAAGGAGTTGTCGGAGGCGCTAGCCGTGTTTTAACAATTACAGAACAGACATATTCAACGATAGGAAATGAGCGTTTAGCAATAGTATGGGCGATCGAAAAATGGAGACCGTATTTACTTGGCCAAGGATTTCACATCGAAACTGGTCATAGGCTGCTGCAGTTTCTGAGGAAAGGGACCGACTCACACGGGAAATTGTCTTGGTGGATGTTGTGCCTGCCTGAGTATGACTTTACGAACTGCGACGTCGCTGGCGAAGAAAAACACTCGAGAACCATGACTGATGCAATAGTTTGACATATCGTTGCAGACCATGGTGTACCAAACTTGATGATGACAGTTAAGGGCTCTTGTTTTGAAAGCGGAGAACTCACTGTCCGTTTGCAATAGATGGGTATCATGAAGATCAGAACAACACCATATCATCCCTAAACGAATAGCTTGACGAAGAGGAACAACCGTGCGCTGAAAGAGTGGCTGGCCTCGAAGGGCGGTGACTGGGAGATGGAGCTTCCATTGATTCTGCTAGCACATCGTGCTTCCACCCGGGAAAAAAAGAAGTCACCATCTTAGCTGATATATGGGATGAAACCACAACCACCATTACACAAATCAACCTGGACCATCCATCAAGAGTGGAATATGACGAGGTTGAGGGCAAAAAGGAAAGACGCCCCCAGGATTGTGAAGCATAAAAGAAGAAGGATGCCATGAAATCGGAACAAGGAGAGAAGATGCTATGCAGCACCCGTGAGGCCGGCGATCGAGTAAAGTGTAGAGCAAGAAAAAACACGGGTAGATGTGGGCCAGATTAACAGAAACCCCTTCCGAAGTAAGAAGCGTCATATACTGTCATCAGCAGACGTGGTTCAGTTAATACCATCAAAAGAGGAAATAAATAGAAATGGGCTAACATCAGCCAGCTTCAGAAATGGTTTTGGTGAGATATGGAAGCCTGGACCAAGGTATAACAGGAAGTGGTAGAACCAAGAAGATCGGGACGGCTCCGTTTGAAACTATTTGATGAAGGGGCGAGTGTGGTGAGAGCCACCGATGGGATTTATTAGTAGTATAAAAAGAGACGTTCACTGACATAGAAGCATCAAATAGCAGGGAGATACAGTTGACGTCAGAGAAGTCAGACAATACAGCGTAGTGGAGATACATGGGATACGTAAAAGGAACACAAAAAACACGATATGAAGTTCAGAAGTGCCACAACACGAAGATCTGTGCAAATGGTGCGTTGAAGATAAGGTTTACATAATATATTTAGATAGAGATACCAATTTCCACATAAACATTCCTTTGCTCTAAAAGACCAAGAGTATGAGTCGCTGCCGTCTTTGGAACATAGTCAATGTGAACAGAGATCGAGCTTGCTGAATACTGTGGAACCCTTCAGAGACGATGTCAAGTCGTGCATATGTGGGACCGGGAATCGACCTGGGACTTTTTGGGTATCCGTTCTTCTGCAATCACCACAAGGACTCCAGTCCATGTCGCCGTTCTTCGTAACTATAAGTAGAGGTGGAGACCAGGGGCTATCTGATGGTTTGGTTATCCCCATCTTGACTATGTGTTCGAACTCAGACTTAACGGCTATGAGTTCTCGCGGCGATAACTGTCGCGTCTTAGCGAAGACAGGTAGACCAGAAGTCGTGATGTGATGAGCGACAATGAAGGCCACGCTAGGGACACCGTGATTCTGCTTGGATATGTCAGCAAAAGACTGAATTAATTGAGAAGATTTGTAGCTCAGGTGGATGATTTGCAATTAATAGTGTTCTCTGAGCTGGTTGATTAAGTACGGACTTGAGATGCAAGGTGTCGAATGTACTGGACTGAGAGAGTGTGTATGAGGGACAATGGCAGGGACAGAGAGTCATTTGGTAGAGTCAACCAACTTCTGCTTGCCAGCATCCACCAGCAGCTGATAGTGCTATATTGTACGTTGTCACGTCAGCCACGATGAAAACCTAGAAGAAAGAACGGCGAAGTCCGATGTTAAGTTCCAGGAACTTTCTTCCATAGGTTGGGATGAGAAAAACATTGGGGGGTTGTAGTCGGAAAGATGTCGGCCTCAGGTGCTCTTCTAATGTAGGTGGGGTTGGGCCAGCTTCTTCCCCAGTGTCGACCAGGAAACGTATCCTAGATTTGCGATCGGTGACGTAGAAGAGGAGACAATTTTTGCCAGCGACGTCAGCCGACACGTATTGTCGGCTGATATGTTTCCTGAATGGCTAGTTTCAAAGGTGTCAAGACGATTACACCTTTGTACCTTGCCACCATAACCTCTATGATATCAACGAACTCCGGGTTGTAAGTTGCTTGATGTCAACCATCTTTTACCACGATGAGAGAAGAAATTCTACCTCTAAATTGCTTCCTAAAACTGCACAATTCTCCATACATTTGTTTTTATCAAAACTAGAGGAGTCAGCCGTGGAAGAAAGGTAGTTTTTACGTCGAGTTTCAGAAGAGAGGGGTGAAGCAATGCTTGCGGAGGGTTTCATAGCCTCAGCAGCTCCGTCGGCTGCCTCCATCAATTCTGTCAAAGTTAACCTGTAGAACGTTGCGACAGTGCCTTGTACTGTAAGAGGCAACCACTATAAACACAATTGTTTCAGGAAGCTATCGTTAAATTTGAAACCAGCAAATACCCGTTTCGTCTAACAGAGCAGTTGTGAGGGCTTGCTGTCACCAAGCTTAACGTCTCTGAAAAGTCCTAGCACCTTTTGTTGATCGGTAAGGGAAACTTTCTTGATCAGGGCCACTTTTAGACGATAGTAAAGGTCCGTAGAGGGATTGTCAAGCATATCTGACATGTCATCCATGACGTTTTCAGTAAGATTCACAGTGAATAAGCTTGCCTTAATTTCTTGTAAATGAATACGCTGCAGAGCCAATTGGGCTTCAACATGTGCGAACCATGAAGATTTCCTAGAAGGTGGGAAGCTGCAGCGTAACTGCCACATGCGCAGGAGAGTCGTTCTTAGCCACGCTTTGATGAGTTATATAATATGCTATGCAGTTATATTATAAAAGCAGTGAAAAATAACTCAAAAACAAAATCATATATAAATCACTTGCAGTGCAAAAAGGAAAAATAAACCAAGTAATGAAAAACAAAGAAGATATGGAAATCACAAGCCTAAATTTAGGCCAACTGTTCTGGTAATGCTATAGATAAGCTAAACTATACCAGCTCTACCAAATTAAGTGTGCCTGGTGTTCGATAAATCAGTACTCTACCTATCTTGTGAGCACTGATGACAAGACGCAAACTAAAAAGACCTTTATAAATAATAATGTGCTCTTTCAAGCAGCATATTTGGATATAATAGGAAGTCAAGATAATCGTAGAAAAACGATGTAATAACTTATCTAGTTTGAAAGGGTGTACGACCAACTCAGAGAATGTAACTGTCCATTACATAAACAGAGAGCGCGAAAATGGCGTTGGCGCCAATCAGTACGTGTATGCGTTAAAACAAATCTCGAACATTAAAATGTTCACTATAGTTTAATACTCACATGAAGACCGGAAAATTCCTTGCAGAATTCAGTATACCATAAACCAGCAATGAGTAAACAGTTTATTAACTGTCAGTGCTATATTCTATGAGTAATTAACGAAACATAAGGTTTTCAATACCCTCAGGCATTCGGAAAATGTGTTTGGCAGTTAACGCAAGGACCGATTTGAAATGGCTACCATACGCTTGATGAGAAAAGTGAAAATCTACGTGGATTTAATGACTGAAACATGAAGTAAAAGCTACAATCACTGAAAATCGTAACTCTCTTGAAGGAAACTCACCTCATTAAACTGCAGTTCAATATTGATACTGAACCTGGAATGCTTAAATGTTATTTTTCAAAGACTGTGAAACGGACATTTCACATAACTATCTTGAGAACTACATTCATTAGTAGAAAAACAATCTAGTTAGTCGTTAAGAAGAAGATACCATTCATGGCCACTTCAATGTACACTTGTCTGTTTACTTGTTCCCATAAGGCAAAACGTATTTACCGTATACAGTATCCTGTACATAAACGTATTTTGAAACACTGCTCAGTCTGACTAACCAGAGCAGAAAAGGAGAATATCTGTATCTCTTTCCCTGAGCACTTTTTCAATTTCTGGACATTGGATACCTCCGTACTGTTGTTTCACTGTAATACACAAAGTAACGGCATATTGCATATAAGAGCTTTGATTATGCAGTTTATACATAGTTAGATCAGTGGCTACCCGGCATCTACATTGCGTGTATCAGGATTGAAAGTTTAACAGAATTATTTTAGATCACCAACACTACTGTTATATATGAGCAACAAGTTTGAAATTTGTGAAAAAAACGGAACTGTTCGGCGAAGAATTGTATAAACACTCTTTTTTGATTTAGAGTATATTCAACCAATCAACACGGAACTACACGAGTCTCATTAACAAGTGGGCTAACAATTCGATTAGATTACTATCTATACTATCTGACGCATAATCTCTATACTTATTTAAAATTTTTTTTCGTAAATCGGGTTCAAAACTATTGATAAAGAGGTATTATAAAAACAACAAATTAATTTGTGCAGTTTAACCAAAATGTGCTATTTAATTAAAACAAAATGTGTTCATTGTAAATTTAATCTTTCTGTCAAAGAATATGCATAAAAATTATAAATATGAGTAAAAATAAGAAAAATATAAAATAGAAATACTGTCACAGCCATAAGTTCATTTCCTTCTTTCACTCTGTCTATTTGGAGTAGTAAATAGAAACATTACCTAAAATAAAAAGGAAAAGACAAAGAAGAAAATTCAGAGGAATTTATGCTGAACAGATAGATATTTAGACAGATAATAATAATCTTATGGGTTAAACAGTTTAAAAATAAAGTAGTTGAATTAGTGAGTCTTCTAAATACGATTTTGTAATATGCATAAGTCTGTATTTCGGTGTTATTTTCAAATGAAAAGTGCTGAAAACCTAATATCTCTATTCAAGTAATACTCTTAATCATTTCTTTTCTAGAAGTTTGTCAAAAGAGATCCTAAACTCAAACAGTAAGTCATTTGTAGGTTTTTTTGGTAATCTTGCGGTACTGTTAAAACTCAGTCATTATAAAAAAAGAATGAGCTCAGCTCATTTGATTTCACAATTTGACATCTGCTACAGATGAACGGAAGAACACATTCTGCATCTTATAAACATAATGATTATTGAAATGAAACTGTTGATTTCAGTTGATGGGCCTAGTGAATAGTTAATTTATCGTAGAGAAAAAAAGACAAGATTTGCAGTATAAAATGATATCATTCTATTTCACAGGTTCTCATCAGCTGCAGACTACCTGAAATTACAATGCTTATATAGATGATAATAACATACTTTCATGTTTTAGTGGTAGAGAAGAAATGCTATAAAATTGATGCATCCAAAATATAAGCATTACAAGTTTTAGTTTAAGTTTTCATCATCAATTTATACGCTTTCTCTACTACTCAAACACGAAAGCATGTTATTATTTTTATTATATTATTATTGTTTCCTTTAATTCCTAGAGGAACATACGGCTTCAGCCGCACGTCTCCATTGCGTTCGGTTCTCTGCTAGAGTCTTCACCTGACTCCAAGTCTGCCCACACCTTTTCATCTCCTCTTCACATGACCTCCTCCAAGTCACCCTCGCACTGACGACCAACTCGCCGCTTCCCTTCCGGGTTCCACTCGAGCAATGGCTTGTCTAGTGATGTCACTTGATGGTTTGTCCTTTCAGAGCATGGCCAATCCATCTCCATTTCTCCCTGCATATTTGTTGCACAATCGGTTCCTGGTTGGTTCGCTCCCAGAGATCCCTGTTGCTGATATTTTCTGACCAGCCATCTGATCTTGAGTATTGAGCGAAGACAACTGTTGATGAAGGTGTGTAGTTTGTTTGAGGTGCTCTTTATGACGCGCCGTCTCTGATCCATATAGTAGCACTGACTCCACACTGGAGTAGTGAATACTTATCATACCATAATCGATCAATTTTTACAGACATATTCGCTTGAACAAAAAATTCTTGATATGTATCCTCTAAATAACCATTATAAATCCACTGGTTAATAAAGTGTAATACACCTGAGGCAACTTTTGACATTAAATGTCCCATGATCGATTGTACTTCAGGATCTCCGTGAAGTGTATGCGCGTAGACTTTAGAGGCTAATTCACCGCCTTTAACGTCACGACAAACATTGCACAGAATGAGTAGAACGCTTAATCTTAACCGTGGCTCTGTAGTCCATAAGATTAAACGAGTTAATGTCATTGGTTGACTGGTTGTCATTGGTGCTGATGTATTTCGACTGTAAATTGTTGAAGCAGTGTCTCCACCGCTTGGATTACGATCACCACGATGATCAACTCTACCAGGTAGTAAACCGGATGCGTTGTCTACATATCTAGCATAGTCACTAGTCTGATCTGAATGACTCAGTTGATCGCTGAAATTTTGTTTCTCTTGATTCAATTCAGACTAAATGAGAGAGAAAAAGAGGAAAGAAGTGAGAATGGACTATTGATTTCAGTAGTATAATAAAGTAACTAACAAGCATGATAATGATTCTAAGCAAGTTTATTCTTTATCTTCTTCTTCTTCGTTAGCACATCAAATTAATGGTGATGATTTACAGTTTACACAGTATTTGATGTGGTATTTCGCCATAGTCGACTTTAGAAATAGGAATTATTCAAACAATAACAGGTGAGATCTGCTTTGGCACCGTAAATGGGAATCACAAGTAAGCAAACGCTAAAAATGCTACTGACTGACCGACTGGTTGATATTTGTGGCGGTGTGATACAGACAATGTGCGCCAACGGAATGTTATTCTCACATGTTCCCACAGCTCAATACTGTATTGGTAACAGAATACTAGGTATGCGTATTCGAACATTCTATTTCTTGTCGTTTGATGTTAACCGAAATCACACGCTCCGTGATTGATTGGTTAACGAATATGCAGTGTAGATACACATAAACAGCGGTCTGATTAATGAAGAATATACCGTGGCGGCTTCCGTGTCTTGCCTTCTGTCGTTACAACATAAGCAGTTGGATAACACGACCAGCATCACTGTATATAGGATACATTATTGTTGTTATTACTATTATTGGTTAATTTGGTGGATGGTGACTAGCAGTGGAATCCAGGACAACGCGCATTTCGTCCTATTTGGGACTCGTCAGCTAGTGGATGTACCTGCATTCCCCAGTGAATGACGATGTTCCCACCGAGGTTCCAACCCAATGCCCATAGTTTTAAACGCCAAAGCGTTATCCACTAGACCACTTGGGCAACGAGAGCAACCTCTTGTGCAACCGGTCATATTAATTATTTAATTGAATTTTAGATTTTCCCGTCGATTGGTTGGACCACAAGCACTTCGGTCCAACCAATCGACGGGAAAATCTAAAATTAAATTAAATATTATTATTATTATTATTATTGTTCCCCTGGGTTACGAGCGGAACATAGCGCAGCACAATAGCACATCTATACTTTATGTTATTCTCTGCGATCCCTTTTATCCGGCTCCACGATGGCCCTTAGTCTCTCATCTCCTCCAACTCGCACGAGCTCCACCATTGTCACCCCCGTCGGAGCAACCCTCAACTCGTTGTTTCCCATTCACTTTCCACTCGAGCAATGGCCTGACATGCGATATCATCCGACGATCTCCACAGAGTGTGCCTGATCTTTTCTGACCGGCCATCTGATCTTGAGTATTGAGCGAAGACAACTGTTAATGAAGGTCTGTAGTTTGTTTGAGATGCTCTTTATGACGCGCTGGCCAAGTCTCTGATCCGTATAGTAGGTAGCACTGACTTCACATTGGAGTTGAAAATCCGGATCTTATTTTTGATGCTGAGTGCTGTTGACCTCCACACAGACTTGAGAGTAGTGAAAGCTTGTCTTGCTTTCCCGATTCTTGCTTTGATATCCTCGTCAGTTCCACCCACCTGTAGTTGAAACGATGCTTCCCAGATAGGTAGGTAAAGGAGGTTGTTTCATTCAGGTTCCTCCCATTTATGCTGATTGTTGTCAGTTGTTGTTGTTGCTGTTGGTGGTGTTGCCCAGGAATTTTCATCACCTCTGTTTTATCTATGTTCACCTGAAGTCCTATCTTTGATGCTTCTTCCGCTAACTTGTTGCTTTTCGTTTGCATATCTTCCAGTTTGTGGGAAATCAGACATATATCATCGGCGAAGTCCAGATCCTCCAAGTTTTTTGTGTGAGTCCATTTTATGCCTGTTTCCTCATTGCCCGTTGTTTGTTGCATTATCCAATCTACTATCTATTATCCTACCTCCTATGTTACTATCATCTATATTATTATTATTGACTATTTTTTCCTGTAGTTCCTAGAGGAACATACGGGCTTCAGCTGCACGTCTCCGTTGCGTTCGGTTCTCTGGCAAGGTTTTCACCTGACTCCACGTCTACCAACATCCTTTCATCTCCTCTTCACATGACCTCCTCCCTCTCTCCCTTGAACGGCAAACTCGCCGCTTCCCGTTATCACCTATATAACCATTGTAATTTCAGGTAGTCTGCAGCTGATGAGAACCTGTGAAATAGAATGATATCATTTTATACTGCAAATCTGGTCTTCTTGTCTTTATTGAAATTTATCAAGGGGACCAAATGTATGTAATTTATTGTCTACAACTATGAAAGGAGTCAAATTCATAACTCTCAGGTGACAAAATGAATGCCATACATTCAGAAGATTTGTTTAAATCCACTAGGCTTTGTATTTTGGACGGTATTGAAATCATGTTACTAAAATAGACCAGTAGATTAAAGCACGATTAATGAAATTAGATTAAATTGTTATTCATGAAAATTAATCTAGAAATACTTTCAATATGGATACAAAACTTTTGAATTCAACTAATTTTAGATATGGATTAATTCTTTTATCTCCATTATTCATCGATTGTCTATGTTATTCGCCCTATTTTGAGAAAAAAATATTCGTGTATTGAATTTATAATCAAGACTGTTCTCACCTTAAACGTGTTATCTCAAATCCTTCCGCCAGTCACATTTGAAGTGACCTTCAGTTGTAGTTTCACTCATCTTCCTAACCTTTAAAAGCAACAAACTAGACTAGGGACGTAGAGAAACCATCTTTTTAACCATGAAACCCACTTTATGTCTATTGTCCACGAAGAAACCTCAGTGACTCTTACAGTAGAACGTTATCATACTTTAGTAAGTTTTGTAGCTAAACAGGCGACATATTTATTTTTGAAAATATTCAAATGTTGCCTGAACTAATCATTCGTTAAACATTTTAATTAGTGATGTGACTATCTGGAAATGTGGTTTAATTTCACAACATATATGGCTAATGAAAAATGCTTTCGTTTTATTCTGTAACGTAGACATCTAACTGTTATTTATTTTTCAGTGATAAGGTTAGCTGAAATATGCTTGATTTAGAAATTCATTTTTCATTTTGAATCATTATCAACCATGGAGTCGTCGACAAATGATGAACAGCTGATTAATAAACAGAAGACAAGTAGTTCAGCGAATAGTCTCTTTTCGGCAAATTCATTCTCATAGCTGTACAATCGCAAATATATATGGTTGTTTTGTATGTGTGTATACATTAAATTTGCCAAACGAAAATGCAATTAGTAAGTTCAGATGAATTGGATATTGATATAAGAGAGTAGTAACAAAAGTGATGAGCTGTCACAAACGACTGTTAAAGAAGAGTTGCATTATAACATGAATACTTTAATGAAAGAGTTGTACTCAAGGTGTACATGGAAACAAAATATACGGAATTACACAAGGGTTTTAAGTCGAAAAATAAGCATACAAACAAAAGTTAAGTCAAATCAACACAGTTGTTATCATGGGAGTAGAAGTGGTTGAATAATTTTCTTTTGTATGCATATTTCTGGTTCTTCCAACCGAATGGCTAGGGCTTCTGCGATGCAAAGAAGACGGAATTGTACTATCTTTGGAAGGTTGTTCTTCACTTTATAGATTACTTTGAATTAGGCGTTTGTTGAGATGGAATGACCAGTGTTGACGAGGTGTTCTATTATTGCACTCCTTATGCAGCCATTACTTCCTTTCTGTAGCCACGCTGGATAGTGTTCTTTGTCCCTTTTTACAGGATACGCGTTGAACGACCGATGTAACTGGCTCCACAGCAACAGGTGAACTGATATATACACATAGAAGTGGTCAGGTGCGTGATCTTGTCTTTTTGGCTTCTGCAGATCAGCGGGCGACTAGAGAAGGCTACTCTCAATGTTACCGCAAAGAAAGTTCTTCTTAAAGAGGTGGAGATTCTCCTTCTAAGGACTTCACTGAGTAGGTCTCCTTTGAAGTCGAGGTTCATATAAAGTATCTTTTTTGGCACAGATGTCGTTTCTTGCTTTTGGATTTTTTGTTTGATGTTTTGTCCGCGAATCTTGATGGGTAACCGTAAAAACTGATTCTCACTAGCTTAATACGTACCGAAAATCACTACTGATGATCATGTGATAGATGCTGTTCATTTCCATAGGACTTTTCAGGTTGTAGACTACCAATCAGTCAATAAGTTAAAACTTTTTTGAATTTTGTTGATTCTCTATAGGCTTTGTTTCTTGTCTTATGTCCTCAGTAATCTCTCATTCAACCAAACCGATTCTATAGGTCACAGCTTCTTATTGAATAGTCTTTGAATTCATATCTTATCAGCTGTATCTTTCACGAAACTTTACTCTTCACTGACTTCTTTCAGCGATACCACTGTAGAATATGTGTCGTCAGTTGACATTTCTACGTATGCATCTACCCGCTTACTTGTCTGCCCGTTTGTTACCACAGTCCAAGGTGACATTAAATTTGATTATCTTTAAATATGACACAAAAATAACCAAAATACTGAAGAAAATTTTTAAGTAAATCAACTCACTGAAATATTTGTTGAGAATGATGAAGCGATGAAAATCGTTGTTCATTAAACGTATCCTTAATTTCTTGTGGACTCAATATGTGTGAAGTTTGCGATCCCACGGCAGCTTTCCCAACTTTTGTAAGTAATGGTTCCAGCATATTTTTATTCTTAATAAACCCACTGTCATTTTCAGATGTTCCACGAAATTTTATTGAAATACCAGTGATAAAGCCACTAGTAGTGTTTGCAGGTGATTGTTTCCCTGAACATAGTCCACGATCGTGAATCTAATTCGTGAATAAAAAAACATTTAACAAGACGTGCGTTATCTTAGATGTATTTATTCAAGTGTTGGTGTTGTTGAGATTTGATTGACTGGTTAAAGGATTTCATCATGAACTGACATAGGTTAGAGAACAATTAGGAAACCGTCTGAGAGTACTGAACAGCTATTTCGTCCTAGTTTGGGATTATTCGTCAGTAGACACCCACTAGGCGGGGTTCGAACCCGGAACATTATGGTTACAAGATGAGCTCGTAGACCATTAGGCCAATGGGACCCGATCTAATGGCCAGCCCACTAATTCTAACTTCTGCCAATTCACGACCACTATTTAATGAGACTTTATAACAGTAGACAGGAAATCTTAGAATTACAGGTCCTTTACAAGAAAGATGAGAACAATTAATCTGTTCTTTCACAGCTTTCTTTATTGCTAAAATATCCATCAAGAAATAGCATTTCATTCTATTCCAGTATTCAAGCATAGCATTTAGATTCTGAAATTCAAACTCTAAGATTATTGAGCAACCATGTTCGTTGTTTAAACAATATGCCTAATTTTAGTTGCCTAATTTGTCTAGAATTTACAGTTGGAGAATTTCGGCAACCGAAATAAGGCTGAAAACAAATAAACGACAGAGTTGGCTGAATCATGCACTTTTCATAAACAAACAAATTCATAGTCCACTAGGCTATATTTCTTTAATTAAGATTATTTTGGAAAAAATGTTATGAATACCTGAACAAATACTTATTTATCTAATGTTTATTCCTCAGACAAAGGTGCTTATTGTCACCAATGATATTCCTAATTGTGGTGGACTGGATTATGCGTCAGACAGTGGGAAACGAGAAGACAGGAATATCCTGGACCGACGTGAAGAACCTAGAAGACATGGATTTCGCGCGTGGATGATTTATGTTTGATGTCACACAAAATCGAAGACCTACAAGCGAAAACCGGCAAACTGGTCGAAGAAGCAGCAAAGACAGGACTCCATGGGAACATAGACAAGACGGAGGTTATGAAAATAACCAACCAACATCAACAACAACAGCAGCAACATCCAGTGCCAATCACCATCAACGGGAGGGATTTGAAAGAGATTACTTCATTCACTTCACTTATCTAGGGAGCATTGTCTCAACTACAACGGACGAGGATGTCAAATCGAGAATCAGTAAGGCGAGAAACACATTCATCAACCTGAAACCAATCTGGAAATCTTCGTCACTCAGCCTGCATCAACAACAAAATTCGGATTTTCAATACAAACGTGAAGTCAGTTTTGCTATACGGATCGGAAACTTGGTGGGTCACAAAGAATATTTCCAACAGCCTGTTGCAGACCTTTATCAACAGCTGTCTTCGTTCTATACTCAAGATCAGATGGCCGGCCGGAAAGAATCACCAACAAGAAGCTATGGGAACAAACAAAAAAGGAGCCAATCGCTCAAGAAATATGCAGGAGAAAGTGGAGATGGATTGGACACTCGCTGAGGAGGCCGTTAGGTGAAATCACGCGTCAGTCCAGTGCTCGAGTGGAACCCGAAAGGGAAGCGGTGGCGAGTGGGACGTTCAAGGGTGACATGGAGGAGATAATGTGAAGAGGAGTTGAAACAGTATGGACTAACATGGATGCAGGTGAAAAGTACAGCAGAAAAGAGAGAAGCAAGTGGAGACGTGTAGTTGAAGCCCTATGTTCCACTAGGAACCCAAGGGAACAATAATAATAATATATATTGAATGAAATCCATAGATAAAATATGCATGATATTAGTTAACAAGATAATGCCAGTTTATTAGTAATAATAAATAAATAAATAACACAATGTACAGAATCCTCTAAGATCTTTCCAGTAAAACAGAAGTCTACTGTACATCACGTGACGCAGTGCTTTTAAATCTTGAAGCACAGACTAATCCCACATTAGATATTTTTCATTCATCTGAGCGAAATGCGCACCGATAGTTTGATAGCTAATTGAAAATATGCCTGGGTAAATTTGGCGACTCAAGGACATAAGTGAATGTTTAGGACAAGGAGAATTAGAACAGATGTGATGCATTGTGTTTAGTAGCTCAGTGATACAAACAGGCCGCCTCCAAACTGTTATACCTATTTTCGTTGAATCTGATCTTAAGTTCTCTTCAAATATCGTAAATTTTTTAATTGCTATGTTTTACTCGAAGAGCTATGTGCGATGTAACGTTTCTTGTAATCTCAGATCAATGTACATTTTTTTAGCTCTTTACTAAGATAGATTTGAGGATTTACTTATTCTCCAGTTGGAGAATAGTTGTCACGTAAACTGTTCATTAGACTAATCCTTCTGATATTGTACTTCCCAAAGTTATTATGGAAACATTTTACTTCTGGTTTACATCTATTGATTTCTTACATGTATAAAATACATTTAAATTAATTCATTTCTTCATCAGGAGTAGCATTTTTCATGGAATCAACATTGTACTTTTAGCTGGAGGAATTGTGTAGTTCTAATTTAAGATGTGTAGATTTGTTTTCTATATTATAGTGTTACACCTCAGTTATTCAGAACAACTAAGTCATGCACCAGGTTAAGAACTTGTAGTATAAGTTACTTTGTTTTAATATTTTATACGCATTCGAACTGTAACGACAGAAGACAAGGACCAGGCAACAGATTGTTTTTTGAGAAATTCAAGAGGTATTTATAGACATTTATGTGCATTATTTTTAGCTGAAAAGCAACCTCTTCTGAGTGGTTGCTTTCTTGCTGAAGGTCATTCTATACTGGTTGTGACCGTTTCTTAGAAAGTTAAGCCATATATCTGCGAATCACATTTGCACACGATAAATCTGCTGTGATTGGCTGGTGATTTTCTTAAAATTAATCTTTTTTATGGTTTTTCTCATGACCCTGATTCGGGACGTGAATATTGATGTAAATTGTTATCTACAATTTTGGCTTGCGGCCAGCTGTTACCACATGACTAGCTGCAGCGGCATTTTCAACTTTTCTGTTACGCTATCAAGACGCACATTTTTTGAGTTTGTATAATTCAGCTATATTCGCTGGATAAGTTCTAGATTTTATTCCCTGGATAATCTTAACCTTTAATTTTACTCAAAACTACTGTTCACCAGAGCACACTTCCAGCTAACTAAGTCTTTTTAAAAACTTCATGCAATTCTTCCCATTAATAAACTTGAACAAAGCAAGAACAACAATTGTAACAGGATAATATGAGCTCATCTTTTATTATTTCGAGGATTCTTCTCAACTGGTTACAACCTGAACGATGAAAAATATGAATTACATTACACTAAAGATTTGAACATAATTTTCCACGATCACAAGGAGTAATTGGTAGGAAGTAAAAGTAGCAATTGCTATCAGACGACTGAAACCAAATCTATATATGCAGAAAGAGACAGTGGTGAATCTTGCACTGCCTTGGTGACAAAATATATATATATATATATATACAACAGCTTGTTTTTGTTTCTAAGCCTAATTGCCTAATTATTCTATAAATATTTATAAACTGTCAAATATTGATCACAGTTCATTTGAATTATTCTATAAATAGTCAGTGTTTGTAACTCTTAATTAGTTAAATCATTCCGGACTAATGCTACTTTTACTTCCTACCAATTACTCCTTGTGATCGTGGAAAATTATGTTCAAATCTTTAATGTAATGTAATTCATATTTTTCATCGTTCAGGTTGTAACCAGTTGAGAAGAATCCTCGAAATAATAAAAGATGAGCTCATATTATCCTGTTACAATTGTTGTTCTTGCTTTGTTTAAGTCTTTTTAATTTGTGTCTTGTCTTTGGCGCTTACAGCTTGGGTAGATTACTAATTTATTGGGTAACTAGGTAAATTACGTTTAGGAGAGGCTATTAAGTGTCAAGTGTAGCTTATCAACAGCACTACGGATACCTTACAAGCCACACTTATAGTGTGATTGCTTATGATATTACCTAGACATTGCCCAGACTAAAATAGGTGGAACTGGACTCGAATTCATGATGTGTTGTCTGAAAAAGTGAGTGTTTCACCTAATAAGCTACATCTCCACTGGAGGTCTGACATAAGAGAAACATGAAACTGTACCATTTGAATATGACTATGAATAATACACTATACTTGGAATGTCACCAGGAAATCAATAATTGTGTATTATTTTGTGCTATGTCAAATAAAATTATCCATCTATAATTATACTCTAATCAAGCATCTGTGTGCGAGTCGGTGGTTCAGCTGTGCAATGCTCGTCAACCATGCATGTGACCCAGGCTTCAATTCCCTGGCCGCTAAACATATTTACCTTTCCTATCCGATTGTAAGTCGAGGAAGGCTGGGAGTAAGGCCAGCAACCTCATCCTGTGAAAAGAACACCAATGCCACTGAAACTTCAAAGATGCAAATTGAAGCTCTGCTTTCCCACCGGAATGCAAAGGAATAAAAAAATACGCCTATGCCGGATCAGTTTAAAGATTTTTTGAAATTTTTTACATTTCTTGCATTCCCAGTGGAACAAAGAGCATCAGGTTTGTAAAGTTTCAGTATTATATTATTGTTCCTTTGGGTTCCTAGTGGAACATAGGGCTGCAACTGCACGTTTCCACTTGCTTCTGTCTTCTGCTGTACTTTTCACTTGCATCCGTGTTAGTCCATACTGTTTCAACTCCTCCTCACATGATCTCCTCCATGTCACCCTTGGAAGTCCCACTCGCCGCTTCCCTTTCGAGTTCCACTCGAGCGATGGCCTGACGCGCGATGCCACCCAGCGGCCTCCTCAGTGAGTGTCCAATCCATCCTCACTTTCTCCTGCATATTTGTTGGGCGATTGTTTTGTTCTTGTTTTGTTAGTTCCCATAGTTTCTTGTTGGTGATTCTTTCCGGCCATCTGATCTTCAGTATAGAACGAAGACAGTTGTTGATAAAGGTCTGCAACAGGCTGTTGGAAATATTCTTTGTGACCCGCCAGGTTTCTGATCCGTATACAAGAACTGACTCACTTGACGTTTGTATTGAAAATCCGAATTTTGTTGTTGATGCAGGCTGAGTGACGAAGATTTCCAGATTGGTTTCAGGTTGATGAATGTGTTTCTCGCCTTCCCGATTCTCGATTTGACATCCTCGTCCGTTCCTCCTGTGGTTGAGACAATGCTCCCTAGATAAGTGATAAGTGTAGATAAGTTTCAGTAGCGTTGGTGTTATTGTTTTTGTGTATGGTTTCCAGCATTGCACCTAGCTAATCGTAATACATTTTCTGCATCGGTTTGCGCGACTGCTTGACCTAATACCTCCAGTGTAACACTTTTATTAAAAAAATAAAAAAGCACAGTTATCGGTGAATGTTGTATTTCTGTAGAGAACAGACTTTCGGCAGTTACATCCAGGCACAAATAATTATGACCATTTCACACTATTCTTCTTATGCTACTGAAGTTTACTAGAAAGAAGAATGTTTTATGCTATTTTGACAAAAGCAGTCTACAAATCTAATTTCATGCAGACATTTATACAAGTAAAATCATACTGAGGATAGTGAAAGAGAACTTACTATTAGCTTCCACATACCAGTGACTTTTTCACCCCAATGAGCTGCAGAAGCAAAAAGCATTGAACCTTCACCAGTATATGTATCTCGTTTTCTATGTCCCAACAGCATTGAAGACGCTCCAGACGGACTAGTCAAATTGAATTCTAAACTTCCACGACATGAATGTTTCCATTTTACATCAATAATAACTTGTTCAACAATGTCTACATGACATGGAGTGTTTTCTGGAATGTTCTGTGGCAGTGAGTATTTAGTTACACCGTCACCATTGGTTACATTCAATGAGATTATAGTTTCTGCTTGTGATTTAATTGCCCTATTTACAGGGAGAAGGTGACAGATTCATGAGACGATAAACAAGTTTAACTGAATCAAAAAATGACGTAATCATTTCTACTTTAATTTTTAACCGAATGAAACTTTCTTAACGATTACACAACTGTGTCCACATATTGTGATGAGTTTTAATATTTCAATCGAAACTACTCTCTCTTGCTACTTAAACTGTCGGAATTTCCTCTTCGTCTCACCACATCCAGTGGTTGATTAACTTGTTTCGAGTGAACCACTTGCACTGCAAATCGGTTTCTAGAAAGTTGTAGTGTGGTGAGTACTACTTATAATCCGATATAAGTAGTATATCAGAAACGAATTCAGAAAAGTAACAATATGTTTTGCACACTGGAAAGAGCAATCAAAGAAGAGAACCACGAGAAGAATGTTGCCATATGATGCAGAATCCAAGAAGCTATCAAATGCGACGGTATTCGACCAATTAGTCAAGGATGTGGTCAGTGATGTGCAAATGGCAGTTTGAAAATATGGTATACCAAATTTACCTACTTACAATACGTTTCATCGAATAAACATTCCTTTCAGCATGATCCAGAATTCATTGACTGAAGACTCATCTTTTTCATTCAGGTTGAACAGACAGTTATGTATATATAGGCTGTTTATAATGTCAATATAGCTATATTAGCAAATGGAATCATGGTGACTTTCAATTTTGGAATAAGCACAACACAAACACCAGATATTATGCTATGCATAATTAGTCTCGGTAAATGGCTAGTCAAAAAAGCAGTTGTTCAAACTGATTCGTCCCTCTGAGATGAATCAGTGGTGGCATTTTTTTGGCGTAATTTATTCGAAACAGGAGAAACGACGGTCCGTTACTTGGAATATTTGGGCATATAGCTAGGAAGTATTATCGGTTAGTACCGGTGACATACGACTTCTAACTTGATTTAGGAATGTTTGGCATACGATGGTTGATAATTTAAATGGAGTTAGTTGTGACCCAGTTTTTGCCTAAACTCTAGTCATTGCAAAGGCAGTTGTGCAATATATCGGTCGGTTTTCGACATAGAACTTTGCACATATGTGCGGCAGTTTAAGTCGCCACACTCCATATAGCACACAAAGCAAGAGAAGAAAGTAGAAGAAATGCATAATATAGACAGTAAACAGAGGTGTGAGACAAAGGAATAGTAATAACGAAGAACGATATAGTTTCATTGGAAATCATAAGTCACAAGGAGTGGATGCATCGGCGTCAGCCATTGAGAACGACTTTGAGCCATGTCACCAATTGTTTCCAACCATTGGTTTTTACCATCCCGAGGACCCCAACCAGGAAGTCTACACCTTCCTACGTGGCTTAGACTAACTGTTGTGGATTTCATTGACTGGTGCCATGTTTTCGTTTGACCATCGCTAGCTCTTTTCCAGCCTGGCCCTATATCAGCTAACATTGCCCACTGTCGAGGAAGGCGATGACTAGGCATACGTAACACATGTCCCAACCATCTCAGTCGATGTAATTTCACGGTTTCGTCGATTGATTTCCTCTCCTTCCTTATCTAGCACTTGACGCCTAACCTCAATATTGCTCACCTTGTTATACCACTTCACGCGGGAGATAGAACGCAGACACCTATGATCGAAGACAGCTAATCTTTTCATGTCTTCTGCTCTCAATGGCCATGTCTCACAGCCATAAAGGAGGACGGAGCGGACTGTTGAGCAGTACACACGCAATATATCGCAAACTGACAGAAGTTGGAATTCATGGGCTGGTCATTTGATCAGCTCCTAGTGAATAAATAGTTTACCAGCTCGTCTTGCGACTTCAAAGTTCAGGGTTTGGAACCCGGTGGGCGGGTACTACTGAATAGTCCCAAACTAGAAAGTAACAGCTGTCCAGTACTCCCTGGTTTTCTAATGGTTCTTTAAGTGGTTTCAGCTCGCGATGAAACATGCAGCCACTCAAATTCCTGCTAACCAACACTAGGTCATAAATGCTTTTGGAAATTTTCAGTTTTCCCAAATCTGTAGCAAAAAACGTTGCAAATTTTAACTTATATTGGTTCGCTACATTGAGATCATCTCCTGAAGATGAAATCACAACTCAGACGAATTACAGTAACAACATCCGGCACTCACATTAACCCCTTTTTATACAGGTGTGTAACACAAATTCAGTGGTAACAGTATTGAATTTGTGAATACTAGTAGAAGTGTGCGACCAAATAGTGGTACATAAACAACACTGGAGAGGAAGGAAAAAATGTTTGTTACGCCTTAAACTGCAATGAAATTAACAGTCATGCGCTCAGTCAAGTTTTCACTAGCACTATCTGTGATAATATGATATATATATGTATATATATATATATATATACATATATAAGTATTTGGGAATCCCTTGCGTCAAATAAGACTATTTGGCAGCCAGACCAAAATGATTTGTAAGTCGGACGGGCGTTTCGTTGGTTAGCTACCTAGCTCATCAGTGGTGCACCAGGCTTGAATCAGGTCAGACAGAAAAACCAATTCAAACCACCTAAATTCTGCCTAAGTGGTTGGGTGAACTGGTGATACATAGGATCGAGTTCTCAATTCGCGAAATGCACAGTTCCAGGTGGGAATTCACCGAAGTTTCTTCTGGAAATCAAAACTTCTCAGACAACAGTATCTGCAGTATCTACATTTGATTTATGTAATCACCTGGTTCTCATAGGCATTCAGCTTCTCCGCTGTATTCTAATCTAGCTATTCTTGTTCTGTTGTACAAAAGCTATTATAACATCATTAGGAATTTTATGAGTAATAAAAACTACCTTGGCAGAAGTAGTTGTAATAGTAGTGAAAATGTTACACAAAAAAGTGCTATCATCTTTTGAACCTACCAACTTTTTTCATAGTATGTTTCATATTCTTCAGAAATCTCTGCCACACAACTTTCATTACACTGGAACAAATCTGGGACTTCTTTCTTTATTTGCGGCTGCAATCTTCCCCATTCCGTGGACATATTATAAACATAATTGTCATGAGTTGATACACATAGTGGACCAACTGAATTCCATTGTTTCGCCAGTTTCACCATACGATAACAATCAATTGTACCATAACCAAAGTAGGGATTATGTAATATGCCAGCACTGTTGACAGTCCACCCACCATCGATTGGATTTGGAATACGACTACTCCACGGTAGAAGATGTGATATATCACGCCATGTTAATTTTGGACTAAAACAAGAAAATAAAGTATTATTGTTAATCCTGTGATTATTCAAGTGTTGGTCTGTAGTGATTCGATTTGATTGATTACAACTGGCAGCAGTTGGAATTCATAGGTTGGTAATTGGTCTTACAAGCGAAAACCAACAAACTGGTCGAAGAAGCAGCAAAGACTGGACTCCAAGTGAACATAGACAAGACGGAGGTTATGAAAATAACCAACCAACATCAACAACAACAGCAGCAACATCCAGTGCCAATCACCATCAACGGGAGGGATTTGAAAGAGATTACTTCATTCACTTCACTTATCTAGGGAGCATTGTCTCAACTACAACGGACGAGGATGTCAAATCGAGAATCGAGCAGGCGAGAAACACATTCATCAACCTGAAACCAATCTGGAAATCTTCGTCACTCAGCCTGCATCAACAACAAAATTCGGATTTTCAATACAAACGTCAAGTGAGTCAGTTCTTGTATACGGATCAGAAACCTGGCGGGTCACAAAGAATATTTCCAACAGCCTGTTGCAGACCTTTATCAACAACTAACTGTCTTCGCTCCATACTCAAGATCAGATGGTCGGAAAGAATCACCAACAAGAAACTATGGGAACTAACAAAACAAGAACAAAACAATCGCCCAACAAATATGCAGGAGAAAGTGAGGATGGATTGGACACTCGCTGAGGAGGCCGTTGGGTGACATCGCGCGTCAGGCCAGTGCTCGAGTGGAACCCGAAAGGGAAGCGGCGGGGAGTGGGACGTCCAAGGGTGACATGGAGGAGATCGTGTGAAGAGGAGCTGTAACAGTGTGGACTAACATGGATGCAGGTGAAAAGTACAGCAGAAGACTGAAGCAAGTGGAGGCGTGCAGTTGAAGCCCTATGTTCCACTAGGAACCCAAGGGAACAATAATAATAATTGTATCGGGTGTCAATGGTTGAATAGTCTACAAGGTCGCCTTGTAACCTGAAGGTTCTGGGTTCAAACTCCATCCAGTGGGTGGGTACTGCTGAAGTGTCTCAAACTAGGCAGAAGAGACTGCTGCCCAGCACACCCAGGTGTTGTAGTGGTTCCCTAATCGATGTCAGCTCTCAATGGAATCCTGTAACCAGTACAATTATTATCGATTACATAATAAAAAGGTGCAGCAAAATAGTCAGACCAGCAGTGAAGGAGACGAGATACAGCGAAGTTGAAGATGAAAAGTTCAGTAAAGTCAGTAACACTTAAATTCACTGCACAGTGATTCATTTTCACTAGTTTGAACGCTTCAGAGACCTTACTTTTTGCAGCATTTCTATTTATTCTCTCCCATCATATAAAATATCAGTTTGTTCGTCACAATTATTTCAGATGGTGTCGTTAATAAAAACTGAGAATAATGTTTACTTTTATAGAAAACATTTACATAGGCAAAGCGTTCAGAAGATGGTGACTAAGATAGCTGAACATCTGTCAAACAGGCGTACAACATAGTCATCAGGTCGACTGATATACGATGCACTTTAATTTGGTATTAGAAGTCAAGAATTAGTCAAAAGGTGGGACTCCACTTTCAGGCTTTGTACGTGTTGTCATCAGCCAAGTAAGGGACTCACATACCTTCAAGAATTTGAAACTGCACTATCAGGTGCTAACTTATTGAAAAACTATTCAGATAATTACAAAATACTTGCACATCTCCAAGTAGCTGTCATGAGATAAAGTAGAATATTTGTGCATTAAACTGGAAAATATTATTGGCTGTTTGATGGCTAATAGTTTTAGTGAATTGTGATCAATTAGGCAGTGTATACCTATCAGCAGCCGCTCCCTTGGTTTAGTGGTCCACCTGAATACTGTCATGACCTCCCTAGCTACAGTGGCTGGAACAAATGTCCTTAAAGGTCCTTCCATGCGGAAAATGTCTGCTTCAATAGCGGTTGGACTACAGGCAGTTACCACCATAGGGTAAGTTAATTAAAATATGTTAGGGATCTGAGGGTGAAGTCATACTGCTAGCAAATAGAGGTTCAGTAGTGAAAAGGTGTGATGCCTCACGAGAAATTAGAAAAGGCTGACCAAAGATTTGTGCACCTCAACTAATCCTTAAACCAGCGATAAAGTCTTCATAATGACACAAATAAAAAGATAATTTCAAATAAACTGTGGATGGCCACGTTCTAATAGTCGCCCCATTTGGCTATTTGCTCAAATGTTTTTTTCTTTATCTCAAGCGTTTCAAGGAAGAAATCAACTTCCATGATGTGATCAGCTTGAAAGCGAAAACCGCCAGATATTTCCACTTCCTGTGATATGTATTTATATGCGTTTTATTCTCTATTATCAAGTGAATGTGGTATTTTACTTAGAAAAATGAGTATGTCAGCATTGTTGTTCATCAAACATTGCCCTTCATCATCCCATCCCATCTCATTCAGAATTTTGATTTAAAAACTCTTATTCGGCCTTCTTCAGTCAAACCGGATAATCAGAGTACGGACTCGTAGTATTATTTTGATATAAGGATAAAACTTGAGCACTGTGGTAGAGTGAGTATAACTCCATTATGGATAAAATTTTATTTTGATTAAGTCACACAGTGTTGCACAGGAATACTTACTCATGCGATCACGTTTCGAGCACAAATTAATGCTGCTCATAATCATATCAAAGTACTACTCACACAACTTTCTTGCATCGTGTACAAACATGAGTAAAAATTGATTCGATATTTGAATAAAATCAACATAAGATAAAGTACATTCAGAAATAATATTAGTGTTATCAATAAAATACAGTAAGATGGGAAATAAGATGTTTTTACGGTAAAAGTAAGTAGCTTGTTAGCATGTTATAATGTGAATTCAATACATTGCAATATTATTTATCCTCCTCTGATTTGACTGGTGGTAATAATATCTTCCATATCTCTGATATTTGCATTGAGTCACTTCTATTGCATGTGTTGTGTTGGGTGTAGACTCGATGAACCGGGATTCAGTAATCTATGTCTGCCTCCACCTACCTCTACTACCTTTGGGAATTTCAACGCTCTCCCACCCTCTTGTATCACTGTGTATGTAAATGCATGCAGTGCAACTCCTGAGTTTTCCTAAATTACTTTTCTTCATGGGATCAATCATTCTCATCTTAGATAAATTCTTAGGTTCCGATAATCTCACTACTCCTGATCTACTATACTAGTTTGACCTATTTGGTTGACTTAACTCAGTCACTGCAGGGTATTTTGTAAATTATATTATTTTGTTTAATTGAGTCCACCAACAGGGTCCTTTAGCCTACGGAGCTTGTAGGTCTGAATGGCATCCTAACTCCTGCATTATTAAGAATCCCACATAGGGTCTCAAATGTCCCCTTCTTATATGGTGGAACTGTAGATTTTATCAAAATAAAATTTTATCCACAATTAGGACTCCTAGATTCATCCCTCGCGCAATTCATCCGAAATCTTTTTTTCTTTTTATGCAACTTTATTTACAACTTACTTTACTTCAAGTGCCAGAGCTATACACCCAGCAAAAACTGGTGCAGCTGCAGATGTACCCACAAACGCTCCGTCGCATTTACCATTTTCCATTGAAGTTGGCTGTATGGTGAAGTAGAAAAAAAGGTGAGTTTAAATTTTTGTGAATTAATAGATTCCATACTTGTAAATGTATGAAAGAAAGACGACTTAGGACTCTGCAAGAACTGGTGAGGAATCATTCTCCAGTCGACGCCAAGTAAAATCCTGAGTCGCATCATCCTGGAGAGAATAAAGAACGCACTGGATACGGAACTCCGACCAGAACAAGCTGGATTCAGTAAAGGCAAATCATGTTCTGACCAAATTGCAACTCTACGCATCATCATCAAACAAGGCATGGAATGGCAATCAAATCTCTACCTCAACTTTATAGACTTTGAGAAGGCCTTCTACAACGTAGACCGCGAAGTAATTTGGAAACTACTCGAGTACTACTGCGTACCCCAAAAATTCATCAACCTCATTCAACAGCTGTATGACAACGGCACACGTCAAGTGATCCACAACGGAAAACTCAGCGAGGCGTTCGGAGTAAACACAGGAGTCAGACAAGGGTGCTTATTATCACCAATGATATTCCTAATTGTGGTGGACTGGATTATGCGTCAGACAGTGGGAAACGAGAAGACAGGGATATCCTGGACCGACGTGAAGAACCTAGGAGACCTGGATTTTGTGGATGATTTATGTTTGATGTCACACAAAATCGAAGACTTACAAGCGAAAACCAACAAACTGGTCGAAGAAGCAGCAAAGACTGGACTCCAAGTGAACATAGACAAGACGGAGGTTATGAAAATAACCAACCAACATCAACAACAACAGCAGCAACATCCAGTGCCAATCACCATCAACGGGAGGGATTTGAAAGAGATTACTTCATTCACTTCACTTATCTAGGGAGCATTGTCTCAACTACAACGGACGAGGATGTCAAATCGAGAATCGAGCAGGCGAGAAACACATTCATCAACCTGAAACCAATCTGGAAATCTTTGTCACTCAGCCTGCATCAACAACAAAATTCGGATTTTCAATACAAACGTGAAGTCAGTCAGTTCTTCTATACGGATCAGAATCTTGGCCAGTGGGTCAAAAGAATATTTCCAACAGCCTGTTGCAGACCTTTATCAACAACTAACTGTCTTCGCTCCATACTCAAGATCAGATGGTCGGAAAGAATCACCAACAAGAAACTATGGGAACCAACAAAACAAGAACCAATAGCTCAACAAATATGAAGGAGAAAGTGGAGATGGATTGGACACTCGCTGAGGAGGCCGCTGTGTGACATCGCGCGTCAGGCCAGTGCTCGAGTGGAACCCGAAAGGGAAGTGGCGAGTAGGTCGTCCAAGGGTGACATGGAGGAGGTCGTGTGAAGAGGAGTTGAAACAGTATTAAATAACATGGATGCAGGTGAAAAGTACAGCAGAAGACAGAAACAAGTAGAGACGTGTAGTTGAAGCCCTATGTTCCACTAGGAACCCAAGGGAACAACAATAATAATAAATGTATAAAAATGGTTTTCAGTTTATTTTTCGATCAAAACAACGATATTAAAATGGATGAGGATTTAATTTATTTATTATTAAAGATAGAAACGCTTTCATGACTGACAGAAAATGATGCATGAAAAAACAAATGTGAAACGAGTTGAGAGAAGTTACATTTATGCAATGCTATATGCCACCAACAGCTCAAACACAGTGGTGAAGAGGAAGGAGAAGAAGAGGGAGGTTTTATACAGACAACTGCAAGTAGTGATGAAAAAGATCTCAACCATTTGGCGACGAGGATTTCATTCATCAGACAGATACTCCAAAATCAGATAGACTTCATCTCAGTTTCAAGACAGTGAGAATGTAGCTCACTTGATTAAAAAAATCAAGAAGGCGAGTAGATTTAGTTCTAGACTACTGTATTGTATAGAGCACTTTCAAGGTCAAAGTGAAAGTCTTCAAGAAGTCTGTAGATGGGCCACAGTTTAAGAATAACACTCTGAAAGTGAAGGACAAATTTACAAGTGATACCTTCACTATATTCGTCACAAATAGGTCGGGGATATGAAATAATATCCCTGAAGTAACTTCCGTAGAAGAACACTGAAACTCTGAAATTGATGCAGTAAGAAAACTGCGTAGAACTCTAAGGCAAGAAGAAACGGTAAGACTAGGAATGACTCTCCACGGATATCTGGAGAAGAGAGAAACATAGTGAAATGGAAAGTGATAAAAGTGGTAAAAGGTTAACGAACCGCTTGTTTTATTAAATATTGGGAAAAACATCTGCGGAGCCAATGTGTAACTGAACACTTTAGTGTTGAATTAGTTATATTTTATCAATGAGAAGTTCTTTGATTGGACACTAGTAACTAGTGTGATGTGTCTAGTCCTATCTTCGGCGCAGACTGAATTCTATCAGTCAGTCAGGTTTGCAATGTGGCCACCATTCTATGTAGCTCACCTTCACGATGCACATTGATTTGATGATATTAGATGGTTGGAGGCAGTCGGCAGGAAGCCTTGCCTTACCTAGGTTTCGTGCTAGTTGGCACTGGTCAGCAAGACGCATCTGCAACCTCAAAGGGATTCATGTCCCTTCTGAGATTTGAACGCGCGTCACCCAGTGCTACCTCCAACCATCTAACATCATCAAATGAAAAGTTCAATGGAATATAATAGTTGATAATGTAAGCACATTTTGAAATAGCTAATGAAAGAATATAATCATAAAAATTTAAGAAATTTAACTGGTAGAAGAATACTAACCAGAAAATCACTGCTGAAAAAACTTGGTGTTCCACCGATAGGAATTGATACACGAACTGAAGCACACGCTTCTGAATATAAAGTTTTTCGACCAACATTATCTACAGCTGAAACAGCAATTACATTCGGTGAACTAATAAATCCATCCGCTCCACAATTATCTCCAAATAGACCACCGTTTCCAGAAGCAAAGACATAAATTGAACCCAGACCATTTCTACCCTAAAATAATAATAATAATATAAATAAAAATAAACTTATTGCTTATGATCAAAGTGTCTGAAATACTTATTGCATTGCTAGACTGATGATAATAATGATGAGGGAAGAGGTGATAAATACCAGGTTGGAGGTGGTATTATAAACAATTACTAAACCAGAGTTTTGTCTAGCTATATGAGGGCTTCAGGTGAACATAGAGAAAACAGAGGTGATGAAGATTCCTGGCCAACAACAACAGACAAAAGTTAGCATAAATGGGAGGAACCTGTAAGAAACTACCTCTTTTACCTACCTGGGAAGCATCGTTTCAACTACAGGAAGACGGAACTGACGAGGATATCAAAGCAAGAATCGGAAAAGCAAGACAAGCTTTCACTACTCTCAAGTCTGTGTGGAGGTCAACGGCACTCCAATGTGAAGTCAGTGCCACTTACTATACGGATCACAGACTTGCACTGCGCGTCATAAAGAGCATCTCAAACAGACTACAGACCTTCATTAACAGTTGTCTTCGCTCAATACTCAAGATCAGATGGCCGGACAGAAAAGATCGGCAACAGAGATCTCTGGGAGCGAACCAACCACAAACCGATTGTGAAACAAATAGGCAGGAAGAAATGTAGATAGATTGGCCATACTCTGAGGAAACCATCAAGTGACATCACTAGACAAGCCATTGCTCGAGTGGAACCCGGAAGGGAAGCGGCGAGTTGGTCGTCAGTGCGAGGGTGACTTGGAGGAGGTCATGTGAAGAGGAGATGAAAAGGTGTGGGCAGACTTGGAGCCAGGTGAAGACTCTAGCAGAGAACCGAACGCAATGGAGACGCGCGGCTGAAGCCCTATGTTCCTCTAGGAATTAAAGAAAACAATAATAATATGAGGGCTTCATCTTCCGACTACGCCGTCGTTTCAGTGCAACTATCAGCAGTTACATCGAGGTGTTTTGTGAACGAATGATGTTTAATCTTTCTTGACGACTCAAATGAAATATGTTTACCACAATTATAAGTCCTATAATAATATATTTTGCAGTTTGCATATATATATTAATTCTGTGAATTTACAAGTGGAGAGGGGTGTTGGAACCAGGATAAACTCTGTCTTTATCCGTGATTCCTATTCGAATTATCTCGATTCCGTTTATTATGATGTGCTTCCTATGTGAGATGTTCTTTATAACTTTTGGAATCATTTTTCGATGATTTCAATATTGTTAAAATCAATTTGGTGGCCTGAAACTACTGCGTGTAGAGGTATAGTTGATGATTTTTCAAGCTTTCAGATTTCTGTTGGATTTCTCGGTGATCAAATAGGGGCTCTATGGAGTTTATTTTTATCTAACCACGATTTCTCGTTAGTTTGTCTGATGTATATTGATTACATCATATTCTAAGCATTTTATTTTATAGACACAGATAGAAAATCTTTTGGAATTCAGCCTTTCAAAATAATTCAAGAGTTTTATAATGGAAAGATGAATGTGAGCTCAAAACCAGTACATACAAATGGTCATAACTGACACTAATATATGGTAGTGAATAGTCGTTATCAGTAAACTGGTGGATATGGACTAGCAGTGGAATCCAAGATGCGCACTTCGTCCCACATAGGACTCGCCATCCGGATATACCTGCATCCCTTATTGAGTGATGGTGTTTCCACTGAGGCTCACGTCCAGTACCCTTAGTTTCAAACGCCAAAGGGTTATCCACTAAACCGATTGGGTCATGACGGCCACCTCTTGTGCAATGGGTATCATAAATTATTTAATTCAATTTGGACTTTCCGGTTGACTGGTTGAACCAAAGGGCTCCACCTCTCATTGATATTTAGGCTCCTTGTGCGGATGATTCTACTGTGGCGAGTCCCAATTAGGGCGAAATGCTCGTCCTTGGTTCCACTGTTAGTCACCAACCACAAATTTACTTCAAGATAAATAATATGACATGGTAGAATCATCTGCACAAGCAGCTGACATGTCAAGACAGGCCGAGCACTTTGGTTCAATCAGTCAGTGGGAAAGTTCGAGCTGAATTAAATCGGTATCAATGTTTAAAAAATCAATTTTATCCCATCCAGAGCAAATTAGATCGGGTAACTGTTTCCAATAACTTCCTTGTCATGCCATGCAATTAGAAATCTATTCATGTTTGTATACGGTATCGATACGCAAAGATGACTAGCTCAGAGACATAATTAATAAACTCAGTTATTTTGTTGTTAAAGTATGTCGACGATACCTTCATCGTTTTTCACAGAGGCATCAACAAATATGAAATTCTTATTGCTTACGATGATGCCTATCCCTCTACGCAGTTTACTTATAAGGAAGAGTAATGAAGTAGTATTTTCCTTCTAGATGTTCTAGTCTTAACCCTGAAGACAGCTAAATGTCTAAAGACAAAAATATGTAGTCAATATACCTGTTTCTATACTTTCATAAAACATCAATTAAGTGTCTTAGCTACAGAATAACATATTTACGTTCTGACTACACCATTTGTATATATAAACATATATATATATATACATTGAAAGAAAATGGCTTCCCAGCGAACCTGCTTATAAAGTACATACTGACACCTAAACACAGGATAATGATGGATGCCTTAAAGGAGAAAATCTAATGTCCAAAAATAGGTTTCTAAAGTGACATTGCCAATGATATCCCGGTGGGTGCGTACTGCTGAAGACTCCTAAACTAGTCGGGCGAAACAGCTGTTCAGTACTCCCTACTGGTCTTCCAATGGTTCTCTAACCAATGTCAGCTTATGATGAAATCCTGCAACCAATCAATCAAATCCCTACAAACCAATACTTGGATATCTTAAGCTGTTGGCAAAACACACACCGATAGAGATAACCATCACAGCAGACAAACTATTACTTAGCTCGTCAACGAAACTGGCACTGTCACAGTGAGTGGAAGATAAATTACCAAAATTGTGCCACCTGTGTATTCAACTAACCCTCTGGAGGAAGGTATATGGGTCATTATCAGATGGTTTTATTCATGTATGCCTGTGAACATGTGCTGCTTATATGGTCAGGAACAGTGACAGAAAAATGTACAAATAGCACAGTCTTATCCAAGTTGGTGGATAATGCATATTGAATTTAACCGCAGAAGGCTTATTCAGTGGCATACGGTGATTTCAGTAACGGATCCAAAGAATTTCGACTATATCTTCTGTTCATAGCCAGAGTAGTAGCAATCATAGTCAGCAAATCTGATCTCTGTATCCAGAAGAAATATGTCCAGTAACTTCACACTTTATTCAATTTAATTCAAAAGCTCACATGAATGAATGCCGACAAAAAGAGGGAGATAAGTATAACAGACAGTTTTGTGTGGTTGAATGTAGAAATGAGCGGCCAAAGGAATGCAATATCTACTGACTGCTTCCACAACAGATCAGGGTAGCAATAAATAATGACAGCACTCATTTACTGTTAAACATAGTTGAGGGAGTTTCAGGAGAATCGCTACAGCTTCTGTTTTCCTCAGTATTCGGTACCTAGTGGTTTCTGTCAATTCATTATGCAATTGGTGGACAGTGGGAAATAACATTACAATACTCACTTTTTGATATGTTCGGAAAAAGTTTGCTAAGCACTGTTGATATTACTATTATTATTATTTGTTTCTTACCCTCCTAAAAGAATACAGGACCTCTGCAGAAAGCCTTCATCACAAGACATGGCGTTTAATGCCATTTTATTGTCTCCTGATCCTATATTTGATTCATCATCAGTTGTTTCTGGATATTTGTTGGATTTATTAATGCCTTTTATTACACAACTGCCTAGTCACCCCGGTAAGTATCAAGAAGAATGTAAAGCTAAATTCCTCAAGCAATTGCTGATTTAATTATCTTCACAGAAGCGGCTGAGTTGATTGATGGCTACTTCGGAGACAAAACCTCCCTGTCTAACATGGATAGTTGGTTATCACATAAAATACAAAAGGCACTGGTTTGAAAATTGTGACCAAAAGACCAGGAAGAAATGTTGTGATACTGCACTGGAGAATGAACTGGAACTTCAAAGGAACACTCAGAATTTCTTTAAAAAGAATATGGTGAGAAGAAAACTAAAGATCCCTACTCCTATCTGCATGGAAACTTGAAGTTAATGTCGAAAACCCCAAATAAATAATCGCTAACCGACGTAAACACTTACTGAACAAGACACAATTTGTGGTTTTGTTTTTTCAGGATCAATGTTCCTCACGAGATACATTCTGCCATCTGGTACCAAAGGTGGAATGTCTCATATTATTATTATTTATTTTATTCCTTTGAATTCTCAGATGAACATGGGGCTTCAAGCTTCAGCTCTCAAGTTTCAGTGGCAGCAGTGTAATTCTTACGAGGTTTAGTCGCTAGCCTCACTTTCCAACCTTCTCTCTTTACCGAACTTAGTAGTGGCTTAGCAAGGTGTAGGTGTGTGTGTGTCTACCGGGATCTGAACTCCGAACCAAGTGCCTGGTTGGTGGGCATTTTACTGCCAAACCAAAGACGCATGAATGTTTTTTATAAGTACATGTTCATAGGTACTTATGAATTCAACCACACCATTCCCTTCAATCTAATCTCATTACTGTTTTTAACATCAAAAATACGGACAGGGAGAATTCGATAGCTCACAAAGTAACAAAGCCGCCTTTTGTTGGCAATACAATTTCATACTCTACATGGTAATTTGAAATTTATATTGGTCGCTTCAATCAAGTAGGATACGAAAGAGGTGAAGAAACAGAGAAATTGGAAAGAAATGTGCATACATCATGAATTTTCAGATTACTGTAGAACACGAATTGCTGAATTTCAGATGAGTATATGAATGACAATATTTCCCACTATAAAGTATTCCGTTGATAATAGGGAGTCATTTCGCGTCTCCAGTTGCCAGAGGTCTTTGATAGTCTTTTAGATAATGTTGCCTTTGTGAATTTACCTACCGTGACACAGTTACTTTACAGCTTACATGAAACTGCCTTAACATGCAGTCAATGACATGATAGTAAACATGTTTTATTTCGAGAGTACTCAATACACACACAAAACAGGAAAATGCATAGGTAACAACACACATTATCAAGACAAACTCTTCTTCAAGTACTCTACAGTATAATAGGCACATTCAAACAATAACTTTTTATGTAAAATTAGATGCCATTTTTAGGAATTGAAAAACAAAGCATTTACTTTTTCCAAACCATGATTTATCGCTTTTTCAGCAAATTCATGAGGTAGATCCATCATAATACCATCATCTGTTGGCCCCCATGATGAACAATACACATTGATTAGATCTGATTGATATGATAATCCTCTAGCCTCTAGAATATCTGTCACTTCACCAGTCAGTATGCGTATACCTAAAATGTGAAACAAAAATAATCAGAATATTTGAAGGTATAACTGAAAAAACAGAAAAGATGGTAACAATTTCATATTCCCAGAATTTGAAATCAAAATCTCATAAGCACTAAGGACATTTGAAAGATAATTACAATCTTAGTAAAACTTAACTCTAGAGAAGGTAATTTATGTGGGAAGAGACATTTAGTATCTCAGCCAATTTTCATTTTTTTTTGGAAATTAATGACAACCTTTTTCGGCCATTGTTAATATGGACTAGGAAAAGGCTGCCTAAAATCGCCGATGATATTCCTAATTTCTAGTCAACTGGATTACGCGGAAGACTGTGGGGAACGAGAGGACAGGAATACACTGGACCGATAAAAACACTCCAGAAGATCTTGATTTTGCGGATGATTTATGTCTAATGTCACATAAACTCGGAGAGTTCCAGATGAAAACAAACAAACTTGCTAAAGATGCAGCAAAGATACGAATTCACGTGAATGCAGAGAAGACGGAAGTGATCAAGATAACCAACCAACAACTACAAGCATTAATCACTATTAATGGAATAAATTTGAAGGAGTGACTCCCTCCATTTGAACAAGAAGCATCGTTTCAACTACTGGCGGTTGGCTCGGACAAGGAGATCAAAACTAGAATAGGAAAGACAAGGTAGATCTTTGTCACTCTATAATCAATTCGGAAATCTTCTGCACTAGGCAGCATGAAGAACGAAATTCGGATTCCTTACACAAATGTTAAGTGAGTCGGAGCTTCTTTGTGAGTCAGAAAATTGGCGCGTCGCGTTAGGAATTTCCAACAGGTAACACACCTGTATCAACAGTTGTCTTCGCTCCGTAATGAAGATCCAATGGCCGGAAAGAATTAGCATCAAGAAACTATGAGAGCAACCAATGAAGAACCTATCGGTGAACAGATATACTGAAAAAAGTGAAGAGGGGTCAGAAACACATTTAGGAGTGCGTCGAATGACGTCACACTCCAAGCAGTCGCCTTAGTGAAATCAAAATAAGAAAGGACGAGTTGGACGTGTGTCCAAGACTAAAATGAAGGAGGTCGGGCGAGGAGGAGACGATAGACTGTGAGCAAAAGTAGGACCAGCTTAAGAGGACTTCAGAAAATAGAAAAAAATGGAGACATGCTGTTGAATCCACATGTTATACTTGGAACCCAAGGGAACAGTATTAATAATTAATGTGTTCTAATTAAGGGATCAAAGAAGAAAACATTGCTTAGCAAATGTTCAGAAGGAAATAGGGATGTACTGGACATTCACTGAGGAGACATTCATGTGACGTCATATACCAGGCCTTCTAGTAGAAGAATAATGGGAAGCTACGGATGGGGCATGGGTACATGGGTGGTATTGAAGAAATAATGTGATAAGGAAATGAAAGTTTGAAAACAGTCCTGAGGTCACTTGAAAGTGATAGCTGAGAAGCGAGTGCAGCGGAGATATTCTACTGAGTCCTTGTGATCCAATCGCAACCAAAATGATAATAATCATACCGATGATCGACATTCTTGAAGATGTAATTTTCCTCGCCATTATCTGATGAACAGAACTTTTCCGAACATCTCGCTGGTTGTCCAAGTTAAATAGCAGCAGGGAAAATGGGCTGGTAGTAATATAAAGTTGGTAATAGATGGACAGACGGACAATACCGTGACTACTGTGGCCACACCAGTCTGTGGGATTTTTGATGAAACAATTAGTTAAGGAAATATCACAGTAGTATGAACCAGCTTCATTCTATCCCAGTCAAAATAATCTTTGCACAGAAACACCAAACTACAGGTAAGCATGAATGGTTTCCCTGAAGCATATTCCAAGTGCATTCTGAAGTGCTTCAGCTAACAATAAAAACAACTTCAGAAGTATCTGAATTGTGTGATATATTACTTTCTTCATATTAAGCTATTTGATGGTTTTGTGATTTTTGATAGTGACAAATTGCCATTAGTTAGTTGAATACCACATAAATAGCCACTATTCACATCGTTAAACTGACACAGACTAGGACGAAACAGTTAACAGCTAAGAGTCATTCCATCGCATATTGAACTAGTATAAATTGTCTATTCTACCTGTGCCTTCCTTTAACAATGTATTTAGAATGTTGTCATATTTAAATTCTATTCAACCAAATGCATAACTCCTCTCTCAAGTGATACGCAACTTTCCTCTAAACTAACTTATGGAATTATATCTCCCTGTTTTTTGTCATACTAGGGCATCTTTCTATTTTCAGTGTAGAATTTCATGTTGACATTCAAGAACTAAGACCTGACATTTTATGAAGAGACTCATCAAGAGAAGACAATCAACCTGTGTACAACTCTTGAATATTTGTGTAGGTTTGTGAAAGAGCTGACAAAAGAAATTCTGCTTTTCAACCTGAGTCTTTCTTAGTGAACGTATTCCATCTAGTGTAATAGTAAGTGATATCCTGATGGAGGGATGATTGATTTGAAGACATATGTCGTCAGGAACTGACACCAGTTACAGAACTAGTGGAGTGATTCAACTGCCATCACATGATTATATACGTATATTTCAAAAAGTGATCATTTTTGTTGTTAATAAAATTATGAAACTCACCTCCTATTTTTGTTTTTGGTGCAACACCATGTGAACAAATACTGTTATTTGCCACTGCAGCAACAAGACCAGCACATCGTGTTCCATGACTAAAATTTTCACAATACAACATAGGTGAATGATAAATTATCTATCTAATGACGGACAATTACAATTTTCCTAAAAAAAAATCAATGTTTTACAGTATCAAATGCTGAGACACACACGCTATTAGTGAATATTCAGGAGGTACTTGACACTACTGTAGAAGAACGACTGGTCTGAAAATCTGTGCCAAATAATCTGTTTACGGCTTAGATATTTACATGTTTGAGTATTTCTAATAATTGGATCTTTATTCTAGCATTTGCATATTTCCTTTTCACTTGGTCTTCATAATTTGTCGTTAATTTTCAAGTGTTGGTTTGTAGGGATTGACTGATTGGCTACAAGATTTCATCATGAGCTGACATTAGTTAGAGAACCATTGGAAAACCTGGGAGTACTGGACAGCTGTTTCGTCCTAGTTTGGGACTCTTCATCAGTACGTGCCCACCGGGATTCGAACATAGGACCTTCTCCTTACAAGGCGAGCTCGTAGACCATTGAGCCACTGGGACCCGATCCAATGACCCATGAATTCTAACTTCTGCCAATTCACGACATAGCGCGATGTCTTCGGAGAGTATTTGTCCTCACATCCGACCTGCTGTACCCAATTGGTCACGATTCCTCACTAAAACCCCAGGTAACTACCTACCTGAATAGGAAAAGTTGCTAGTGAGCTGTCCAGTACTCCCAGGTTTTCCAATGGTTCTCTAACTAACGTCAGTTCATGATGAAAATCCTGTCGTTACTTTTATTTGATTTCTGTTTTTGCCGCTCTGCAGTGGTGAACTGTTGACAATATTGTATTATTTTACTATGGTTAATATTTTGTTTGAGGGGACACAAGGATGAGCTGTGGTGTATCTACTTAAATTTGAACTGTCTTTTGGAAACGTATTCTGTTCAATCTGGTTCTTGCAGACAGACTTTTGACTGCATTTTGTTGATAAGATTCTTCTTGATTCTCAGATATTTTACATTCTTGTTCGGGTTAATGAATTTTGTGGAATGGGACGCAGTTTGTAGCACAGAAACCTGTACATTTTATGATTGATTGACAGCATTGCTGATGCAGTCTTGTCTTGTTGATATTACTTATTGCTGTTTAAAAATACTACAGATTTGATCACATTTATTTACGTTTTGATATTCTAGAAACGTAATCTTTGTCTGTATGTACCTCACAGAATTTTTAGTAAACTATACAGAAGGAGGCACTATATCGTGTAGATCGCATCTACTTGGTTATTATTATTATTGTATCCTTTAATTCCTAGAGGAATATAGGGCTTCAGCCGAGCGTCTTCTCTGCTAGAGTCTTCACCTGGCTCCATGTCTGTCCACACGCTTTCATCTCCTCTTCACATGACCGCCTCCAAGTCACCCTTGCACTGACGACCAACTCGCCACCGCTTCCCTTTCGGGTTCCACTCGAGCAATGGCTTGTCTAGTGATGTCACTTGATGGTTTCCTCAGAGTATGGCCAATCCATCTCCATTTCTTCCTGCCTACTTGTTTCACAATCGGTCCCTGGTTGGTTCGCTCATTGGTAGAGATCCCTATTGCTGATCCTTTCTGGCCATTTGATCTTGAGTATTGAGCGAAGACAACTGTTAATGAAGGTCTGTAGTTTGTTTGAGATGCTCTTTATGACGCACTGGCCAAGTCTCTGATCCGTATAGTAGCACTGACTTCTACTTGGTTAAGTTGATTGATTTCTTGTATTTATACGAAAATACTTGTGTTTTGGTCATTATGCCGATGTCTTACTATACATGTGTGCATATGTTTCCTATAAATACCTAATTTCTCTAATATACCACATTTATCTTTACAGTACAGTGATGTTTGTATTTCCCTCCACTTATAATCCTGTAACTCTATTGGTTGTTGACTGTTTTAACTTAACAGTGTGATTAGTGTCTCTGAAAGCCATTTAAAGCATTGATATACGCTATCGCTGTTGATTCGAGACAGTAATAGCCCTCTATATCAACGGTCTGTCTTGTCTTCTTGCGTCACAGATTCGGTAGTAACGTATCGTGTCGTTGTTGGTGCTAATGTGAAGAGGGTTGTCTGCAAGCCAAAATTGTAGACAACAATTTACGTCAATGTTCACGTCCCAAATCAGGGTAATGATAGAACAATTACAAAGCTTAACCTTGAGGGACTCACTAACCAATCACAGCAGACTTAACGTGTGCAAATACGATTCGCAGATATATGCCTTAACTTTCTGATAAACTGTCACAAGCAGTACAGAATAACCTTCAGCAGGAAAACAACCAATCAGACGACACTGCTTCTCTGCTAACAATAACGCTAATAATAATGTACACAAAAATCCATAAATATCTCTTGATTTTCTCAATAAACGATATGTTGCCTAGCCATTGTCTCCTGTCGTTACACTATTAGTGATCAGAACAGTGGGCTCTCAAATCGATTAAGCAGAAAGTTAGTTAGCATAAACCTTCAAGTGTATTAGCGGTCATATTAGTATTTGGCATATGTTCCAGGCTTTTTTGAGTCAGAAGGAAACTGATTAGAACAATACTAAGGCTATTAGAAATGGAGTCTTATTAACCAACTGTTGTAAGTCTCTGTTATAATTTGGAGAAGAAAACTGTTGAACACAGACGCAGAGAGACAAATCACAAGCAACAGAAATAAATCAGCAGACCTTGTATTCACACTACTGTTTTCATAAAATATTTTTAGCCGTATTCTTATAACATTCTAACTGAAATACTGATGTAAATATTTTCAGTATGTTAACACTCAATCGTAAAGTAAACAAGAATATTGTAGATACAGTGAAGCAATGTCATCAACACCTATATTCTTTAAATAAGTCTTCTCTGTGAAACTTTGAAATCGTTTGAAAGAGTTCAGAGTGGAACACAATGGATCTTGTTAAATGGAATTGTAGGCTTGAAAGATTATCTACAAAATCTGCTAGTGAACGTTTAGCAAATTGCCATAACATAAAGCGCATATAAATGTCAATTGTATTTCGTTTTATTTGTATAGTGAAATCGATAACAAAACTTTATATAAAACCACAAGTTCACAGATTCGATGGAATTAACTAGGGAATTGTAAGGAGCTGAAAGTGTGACAGCGAAGCAGAAGCATAAGTGACTTTTTAAAAGAAAATTGAAGGTGAAATACATCGATCAACACGACCGTCGCCATTAACTACCACTTATCACGACTTACAATGATTCAAAAGTGGACTGCAATCACTAGTCTCTGAAATAAACCGGAATGCTGCAAAATTTGTTACATAGATTTCGGTTAACACTAAGATTTAATCAAGACGACAATATTTCATTTTCACAGCCTGATCAGTATAGGTAATACAGTCAGCACTCTGAGCTAAGTCAAACAGGGTACACCGACGATGACCTCTGGCTCCAGAGAGCGAAACGGCCGTTTGGTGTTTAGATCAACTCGATCTGGTTGATACGAGTGGCATGCAACCACTCACCCCAATCAATCAGCAGTGTATAGTTTTATGAAAATATGTCTGCTTTCGTGACTACCATTAATGGGATCAAGCAGACCACATGTATTGTGATCAGAATTACTTGGTTTCCAAAGGAAACTACGGTGAAACTCAACCACTCGAACTGTTTAAATTGCAAATTGCTAACCAGCCTGTATATTATCAGTCTTTACCGGTGTAAAACACACCCCTAGAGGACTAATGGTTGTACAGCTGACTGTGGCAATATATGAGGGGATTTAGAATACTCTACGGAAAAAAAGCTGTGTCAAGACTGCTGTGTAGATGTTGTTGATAAGTATTAGTCAGTACAGAACCGTGATCAAATGTCCTCAGCCTAGTGCGGCGACCGAAACCAATTCCTTACGGTCAGAATGCAGGAAACTGATCTCTGTGCTATACTTTATAACTGGTACACTCAAAAACTGCTCCAAGGATGGGAAAAAGACAATTGAGCTATGGTCAGTTTGCAGCTCTATTGAAACAGTAATAACGTCAAAATCTCAAAATTACAGCAACAGTGACGTCAGGCAACTATACAGTTCAGTCTAGGTACAAAACAAGTACTTAGAATCAAGTAGAATATTGCCAACAAGGTAGGATTGAAAATTCTGTGCACAATATTTACATACCAGTGCTTTCCGCAATTAGTCCAAGGTCAGATAAACCTTGATTCAACCACAACAAAATCACACCGTAAAACAACACATTACCAGTTAAAATTAGAGACATAATAGGGACAAAGACGAATAATAAGGATAGAGTCAAACGTCAGAACAATGATATAGAGTCTAGCAGAAAAACGGATAAGAGTTGCGATGGCACCGGTTGGTGGTCGCACTAAATCACGAATTGGTGGGAGTTAGAATTCATGGTCTGACCATTGAATCGGGTCTCAGTGGCTGAATGGTATACAAGCATACCTTGTAACTGGAAGGTCCTGGGTTTGAACCTCAGCGGGTGCTAACTGCCGATGATTCCCAAACTAGGATGATACAACTGTCTAGTACTTCTTGGTTTTCAGTGGTTCTCTAACTGATATCAATCCGTGGTCAAACTTGTAAGAACAACAGTTAAGAAGTTAGATGACACATCCTAATAAGTATGAATATTGTGGTTAGATTTTTCTCGTTACACTTAATATTCACAACCACCCATTATCTACATCCGTAAGCGTTATTATAACTTTAAGTTCAGATTAAAGAATTATCGGATTTACTTCCTCTTGAAAAAGATATAAAACAGAACACAAGCGAAAGCTTTTAGTCTGAGATATTAAAATAATTATTACAATTCAAAAACATCACTACTGTCTGCTTATTTCAGTAACTGGCAGGGTTTTCTACTCATTTTCTTTATGTTCAGTTGGTTAAATTATTCTTTCCATTGTAGATCTTCTAACAGGACAAAATGTTTATTCTATTTTGTTCATGAGACCAGTTGGCATTGTCTTTCCACTGCTCGACGGCCAATGATTTAATGTCTGATGAAAGAAGTTAGGGTTCAAGTATGTCTTGCGTCAGGATTCCAGCTAGCGATAATTATTTTAACTAAGTGACTTGGAGGACACATTTTTCTTGAGAAGGGTGATGAAATCATGTAATTTACAGCCGAAAAGCTTCGGTCGGCTATCAAGAACACTTTCTACGTCACATTCCTCTTGCTGACATCTCTAACATCTTCATTTCTGTGCCTACGATAAGAACACGAAATTCTACGGAGTCTACTTTACACTGTATCCACAATTTCATCTGCATTAGTTGTGGAAATACACGTATGTATATGTAGAACTGACAGGATGTTCCAACGTCGTTCAAAAGAACATGGTCCTAAATTAATTTTAAGTCAAATAGAAAGTCCCAAATATATTTAATCTGCATAGAAGTAAAGTAAAGCAATAGGTACCTATATTAATGATCATAAATTAAGGCAAACTTTTAACTTACCCTTCCTCAGCTGGCATTATTGCACGTGGTCCACGTGGACTAAGACCATTCGCCTCAGGTCTATCCATATTGATTGATATTGTTGGATCATAATTGTCTGCTAAATCTGGATGTGTTATATCCAATCCATCGTCTAGGATCACAACATTTGAACCGACACCAGTAATATTCTCCATAAAAATTGGATATAGGTTGATGTCTAATCCAGCTAATGGACTGACACTTTTACCATCATTCAACTGTAAATTGAGCAATAGGTGAACATTTTCGTTAATATGTATGTAAATATGATAGTAGGGAATAAGTATTCACTTATATTATCATGTTTAATTAAAACGTCTCCCGGTTAAGAATGCTTTTTAAGTTGGTTATCTATTTCGTCAATGATTGGCGTCAACTAGCAAATCATTGAAAGTGAAAGAGCACTGAAAAACTGTTTTACCTCAGTTTGTGACTACTCAGACCTGCTCAGCCATGACCTTACCAGTGTCATCTAGTAAACATTCATTGATCCCCTGACCGATGTCGCTTCATGAAGGAATCTACTGGTCAAAATTATGAATCCTAATCTCCTGTTCCTATTAGCCATCAGATAGATATCCTGAAGTTTTAGTAGGAAGCTCCAGCTGATGCAGCCCAACATGATAGACGTCAAGCAGATGCTCACCGATGACACTAGTTGGTAGTAGCATTATATCATAAGTTGAATTTTATGGATCATTGGATTTTAATAATTCTTTAACTCTAGGTTCATAAAACAAATATATACAGGAATTATTCAGAATAAAAGGGCTTGTGAGAAGAAATATTTACCTTTCAAATAAATCCTCGTTTAAAGCTCTACTCCATTATGTACGGAGCAATTTTAGTGCAATTACAGAAATGTACCAGTTTTCAGAAATCTGATCAGGATCTGTTTATCTACGTTAACCCCAGGATTATTCTACGTTTATCTTCATTTAACTTGATAACTTCGACATTATTATTAATACCTTACAATGTCTGGAAGCGCTTTTCTCATTTCATGCTCTTAAAGACTAATGTATGTCATTGGTATCGCATCTTTTAATTCACTCGCTGAATCTCTTCTCACGTACTCCACGTGCATGCCAACACAGCATTTTGAAGAACACCAAAATAATATTCTAAAGAATATTGCTGCAAAACAGTAACAGTGAAGTTACTCAGGGGATTATCTTCCTGGAAATAAAGATTTCTCTTTTTGAAATTATGGAGAGGATTCGTAACTAAGACAGGTATTCTTCATACGATTGTGTTCTCCACGCCATCTGGTCTGATTGAGAAGCTTTCCTTCGTCTTCTTCTTCCAGATAGCATCTTCATCGCATACTTCAGTGTGAAGTGGATTTCTCAGAATTCTCCATGAATCATATAATAGTCTTGTTCAAAGATGATGGATGCATTCGGCTGTTAATCTATTAATCACTGACCTCTTGAATTTGATTCTTTTCACCATGTGGCTCGTTGATTATACTGATTATGTCATTCACAAGGAATTCTAAAATGCTCGTTTCATATTGAAGTAAGTTGTGAAAGTGTTGACTAGAAGGAGAATGAAAGCTTCGCAATAAAATTACCCGACTTATAGAAGACAACGACTTGAAGAAGACTTCTCTATTGGATAAAACCATTTTGCTTTGAATAGTCAGTAATGAATGATATGTTTTGTTCGACACGAAGGATATCGGTGTAATTCATTTTGTATCTTGAACTTTTTTCAACAACATCTTTACAGCTGTAAATAGATGCATGAGACACGGGGATATCCGCCATTCTGTGGCTGTCTGCTGTTTCTTTCCAATCAACTTATGAAGCCGATTGAGCAGGGAGATTAGCAATTTAACATACTAGAGTAAGTCTTTTTATAAGCGAAAATCAGCTGGATGAATAGTGAAGAGTAAAAACACAGCACTGGAAAGCTGTTTCCTCTTAGCTGGAGATTCTTCAATAGGGACAGCTGACTACCGAGTAAAGGATCGGGTTCAAGACCACCAAGTGACATGGTGTTATTATTATCATCAGTATTCATCCATTACGTCAAATATCAGTAGGTGTTAATTTACCCAGTCAGCAATATATATTTATACACACAGTGACACGTGTATATAACTCTATCTGCTAAACCCTTCCAAGCATAACTTCTCACACCTTGACTCCGTGTTGGAGCTAAACACCAGTGAGTATTTCATGACTGATCATTTGAGAAGTTCATGCGGCATCAAAACGCCTTACTTCAGCTTTATTGATTAGACGACAACAAGCGAAATGAAAAAGGACTGAACAAGTTTACTTCCCCTTAGTTCAAAATTTTTCCTCAGGGATATTCTACACCACCTACGAAACCCGTTTCAAAATCAGAAAGCTTCAATAACATCAAAGATTATTTAACTTTTAGCAACTTCATTCAAAACTATTTATTTTTCACTCTGCAATAAACTTACATACTGCCATGTGTATTTGGCTGCAGGATCGTTCATATTTACTGCACTTCTTATCTTACCAGCGTACTCAACATACTGTCGGTTGAAATCTTCATCACTCTGCGTTAATAAGAAAAAGATGAAAAATAAGTAGAGTTGTTATGCGCGATATCTGCTAACATGTGATCATCGAATGAAGACTACACTTTTAAGAGTATGACCTAGCATTGAATGATGTGTAATCATATTCTCTGAGTTGTCTGAATTACATCAATTAGATATTCATATTTTGAAACGAGATAATGTGACCAAAACTGCACTGTGTTCTATATTTTTCTGCTTAGACAAGGATGATGGACAAGAAATCTTTCCAAACTGGTTTTTGGCTTTTCTTGTGTCTACTACTAAGTTGCTTCTTAAATTTAAAAGAATTCGTCATATGCCAGTTGAGGTTACTATCCAGCAGGAGGTCTACAGGAAATCGAATGGGAAGTAAATATTTGGGTGTACGGTCAAGCATGACATTGAGGTAATTGTGTATGGAGTAGGGGGAATTGGAAGCTTACCGGCAGCTGTGGAGCCAGCTAAGAAAAGTTGCAGAGAACCAGGTGAGATGGAGATGTGCTATTGATGTCCTTTATTTCAGTTGCAATCCAACGAAACAATGACAACAAAAATAACAGTGGTTCAAATGAGCCAGCGTCTCAGAACATGGCGAACAAGTAAACCATTCAGTAATTATTTGATTAATTTTTTCGAATCTTTATGCATCAACTAAGTTATTTATATATATATGTCGCAATGGAAGACCGACTTTATTGCTTTTCCTTCTGAACTTTCGGAAGAGTCTGTATTTGACTGATTTCCAGCCATTAAAACCTCAGTTGTACAGTCTTCAAAGAAATCAAATAATCAAGAATTTCAACTATGCTTCATTCGCTTAACTGCAGATGAAAAAATCTGACATCATCATTGTGAATGGCATTCCACATTTGTTTCTCCTCACTTCATGATACTATCCCACTGTACCTGACTACTTTGTTTATTCACAGAAGTGTTCTGTTGATACAGTTTAATATTACTGTTTGTGTTTTAGACTGATTATTGATGATGAGAAGCTGAGAAATGAAATGTGAAAAAATTATTCTACAAATCGAGTTCTTTTAATTGGGTACTTGAAACGCAACTGTTTGTCGCAGATTCGGTGTGCATCTATGCGTCTTCATTAATACATAGACTGCCACATATTCATTTCTAGTAACTTAACCTTTAATGGTTAATTCTGAGTAATGAACTTCATCTCAAAAGGTTATCTTGGGAAGAACTAAAATCAGTCAAAACTCGATCACCGGAAGAAGACCCCGGAGGTGATCCTTGACAGGTAAGATAAAAGCGACAACTGACATGAATAAAATGACCTATAGCACAAAGCATACAGAATCCATATTTGCGACAGAAAGAATTTAGAAAGAAATTAAATAAGTTAAGGCGTTGAACAGAAGTATATCCAGATGTACATTAGAAGTAAAATTGATGTTACCAGTATCTATCAGCTCTTACTAATGACAACTAAATTGTCACTGAATATTATACCTCGAAAAAACAAGCTGGGATAATGCTTTCATCTCGACATCCGTATCCTGATCTACAATATTCATCATTCAATCAAGCATAGTTTCTTACCATTAAGTTGCTCATCATCAAAACAGTCTATTCGCTACTGTTCAGTCGTTATCAACAGCTACGTCACTTCTACTAGGACGTCTATCGATTAAATTAGGACAAAAATCACTTCCCAGAATGCTTTGTAATAAGCACTAGACAAAAATTATATTTATCGTATGCATGGTAATTTTTATAGAGACAATCTGAATTATATTACACTTAAATTGGAATGACCCATAAACTATATTTTATATTTATTTTTTATTCCTTTTTGTTACCAGTGGAACATAGGGCTTCAAGCTAGAGATTTGAAGTCTAGGTAGCAGTGGTGTTTTTTATTTTGACAGGATGGGGTTATTAGCCTCATACCCAACCAGCCTTCTCTCTTTATCAGTCTTATTACTGGCTTAGCGAGGTAAAGGAGTGCGTCGGCGGGGGATAGAAAACCGAACCAAAAGCGTAGCTGGCGAGAATTCTATCGCTGTGCCACCAGCGCCCGATAAACTGTAAAATAAATAATATTGAAAGTACGCATTTCACTAAAAAGACAAAAACGTGTAGAAGTAATACATTTGAAAATAAATAAACTTGGTATTTTGTCGTTAGTCCGCAATTCTACTGAAGCACAGATTACACAGACAATATGAATCACTAATAGGTTAATAAAGAGAATTTCGAAAGAAAACAGGAAAGGTGGTCAGTCGAAATTTCTGTGAAATTGTACTTTAAGTTGGCTTTGATGTAATTCATTGTTTCACCGAATTTTAAGTCTAATAATGACAAATAATGCTTTGATGTGCCAGAGATATTTTGACAAATATTATTTGTCTACTTATTCAGGAGGCTAGTAGTATGCAAACAAAATTACGTATAAATGTTTCACCAACACATCAATTCCGCAACTTAGTATATGCATTAAAATGGCCGTATACTATTTTGTAGATTGACTGTAAATGTATTGTTAATCCTGAGGATAGAGCACTGACAAACCAGCAACTTTTTCTGTTAGTTTATTGTTTCAGAAACCTATGAAGGTAGTCGATTAATATCCTGCTTGAGACTATCTTAGAAATTTAAGACAACCAACAAAGGTTAATAAAGCAGGATTTAATGAATTCATCAAATTTCGATAGAACTCGTCAGATGAATACTCTGTGTATATCCCCGTATGTAGAGTATTCAGATGACGAGTTCTATCGAAATTTGATGAATTCATTAAATCCTGCTTTATTAACCTTTGTTGCTTGTCATAGAAAAGAAAAGGCGTTCAGCAAAGAGTTACTCTTTTCGGCGATATCATTCTCAAGCTGTACAAACCGCAAATTTATAGTAATTTTTCTTGGCAACAAAAGGAATATTTCCAAAGATGTGCTAATACAATTGTTAATTTTTTGACAACAAATTACGTAATTTAGAAGGCGTTAATCGGTTAGAAACTAAAATAAAGTTACAAAAGTAGGTTGGGTGACGTAATCTAATTGCTAGGGTTCAATGAAAAATGAATCAGAGTCAAGTTAATAAGCTGAGTAGAATTCACTTAAAAATAAACGAAAATGGAGTTAGCAACAGTCGTCATGAGGGTAGAGATTTAATAGAGGGTGGGGGTAGAAAATAATGCAATTAAGAAACAGACAAACAAAGAAGAAAGAGGTAAGACAAAATTACGTATTTGGTGTTGAGATAGATCAGGACCATTGTAGATTTAGTGACTGAACAAACTTCTTTTGTATGCAGAGTTCAGGATTCCATATGTGAATTGCCATTGCTTCTGCAGTTTGAAGAAGTTTAATTCGTACTCTTTTGGCAAGATTCCCACGTATTGTGTAGATAACTGAGAAGTTGTTTTGTGGGTTTGCTTGGTGTCCGGATTCGATCAAGTGTTCTAGGATAGAGCTGTGGCGGGGGTATCTTCTTTCTCCTTTATAAAACCATGAAGGTAAGTGTTCGCTGATTCGTTTGGATAGCAAACGCTGGGTACGGCCGACATACCTAGCTCCACATGAGCAGGTGAATTGGTAGATGCACATTGATGAGGCCCCCAGTGGAAGCTTGTCCTTCACGTTCGTGCGAATCATTGGTTTCGTAGAGAAAGTTAGTCTGAGTTCAGCTGCGAAGAAGGTTTTCTTCAGTGAACGGCACAGGCGGTTTCTCAGTATTTCTGCTGAAGAATCTCCGTTGAATTGTAGATTTAAATAGAGAAGTTTCTTGGGAGCAATAAGCATAGACGGTTTTTATGTTTTGGGCTTCATGGCTTTTGTGATGAAACGTTCCGGGTAACCGTTTTCAAGGAGGATTCTTTTGAGGGTCTTCAGCTCCTCTTCTATAGTTTCCGGACTGCAAATGTTGTGGATTCTGTGAGTCAGTGAGCGGATTAGATTCCGTTTTGTATATAGAGGCACCCAACTGTGAAAGCTGATGAGTTGTCCATTCCATGTCGGTTTTCTGTGAATGGATCTTTCGAGTGTCTCATCTTGTTCGCGTCTTGTTAGTTGCACATCCAGAAAAGATATTGTTGCGTTGGACTCCTTCTCTAGTGTGAACTGGATTGCTGGATGGCAGCTGTTGAAGAAGTCCAATATGTTCTCCAAATTTTCCTCATTATTGGCGATAATAAAGGTATCGTCCACGTATCTCTTGTAGAACCTGAAGTTATCTATTGTCTTCTTTAGGTGTGTATTTTCTAGTTTTGACATGAAAATATCTGCAAGCAGCGGGCCGAGTGGTGAGCCCATAGCTATACCATCTTTTTCTACGAGTTGATCACGGACTGATATCAGTTAGAGAACCATTGAAAACCAGGGAGTACTGGACAGCTGCTGTTTCATCCTAGTTTGGGAATCATCGGCAGTACGCACCCACTGGGATTCGAACCCAGGACCTTCCGGTTACAAGGCAAGCTCGTATACCATTCAGCCACTGGGACCCGATTCAATGGCTCATGAATTCTAACTTCTACCATCTTTTTGTCTATATATTTGATTATTGAAAGTGAATTGGACGTTTAGAGTACATCTTAATAGGAGTTCTTTCAAATAGTCCGTGGGTATACCAATGTTCATCTCCTTTAAAATCAATATATTCACATATATAGCACATTGTTTCGGTTAGTGGGACGTTTGTAAACAGTGATACCATATCCAGTGAGAACATGGTTTGATTGGAAACGCTGACGTTTTCAATGGAATTGACAAAACCGAAGGAGTCTCGAAGTGAGTGGCGGGAGATTTCCTTTCTGACTGGTTCTAGTATGTCGACTAGCCATTGTGCGGTACTGTGATAAGGTGAATTAGTCATATCGAGAATGGGTCGAAGAGGTACGTTTTTCTTGTGCACCTTTGGTAGTCCATATAGCCGGGGTATATTTGAGCCCGACGGTTTCAACGATTCGAAGGTTTCAGGATCGACGAATGATTCAGTCTTTAGTTTTCGGAGAAGGTTCGTTAGTTTTTGTTTAGTTTGTTCCGTCATGTTCTTTTCGTTTGCCGGTTTTATGAATTTAGATTCGTCGGATAGGATGTTGCTTGTCTTAAATTCGTATCGGGAAATAAATGCTTTTAATTTTTAGAGAAGCGCCTCCCGGAAAGCACTATCTTTGAAATGATTAATTTCTTTTTAAGAAGAAGTAATTATATAAGTTTCTATTTAGAATGATAAAAGCTCTCAATGTCAAAAACCTCGTTCAAGATGACTAATTTTTTTCAGAAAATGACATCAAATTAAAGACAACTAAAGCTGTTGCTTTAATTTGGTAACTACTCAGCAGTGCACATCTACAACAGCTTGACGGTCATAAAACCGCTTCTGTTAACTTTCTGAGAGAGAAAAGTTACCACGTGAGAGAAAAACCTTTCCATGAGAGAACCCTTACACTATATTTCAAGGTCTTCTTCTATTCTTTGCGTTCTTAGGGGAACATAGGAGTTCAAACTCTGAAGTTTCAGTAGCAGTTTGGTGTTTACACCCCAGTCTTACCTCTTTACCGGGCTTATTACCAGCTAGACGGGATTTAGGAGTGTTTTGTGTGGTAATCGAGCGTAGACTATGTGCGTGTTTGATGAGCATTCTGTGGTCAAACCACCGATGGACATATCCTGAGATGCATTATTCGTGACGTATCTACTTAACACACTATTTTCTACTTCTTGGCATATACTTTTAGGCGTACCTGTAGTTTGAATTTATGTCGTGTCCATTGTAGGCTTGGAACACATGTTACTCACTACTAAAGTGAAAGATTCCACCATTAAGTTATCAAGGTAGAATTGCATACCTGTAGGAATGTAAGATGCATTCAGCTTTGTTGTCGTGTCAGTTAACTGTTTAATTATGCATTCACTTAAATTGCCATTTTTGTATCGCAATGCATGTAATAATAGAAGCTAAAGGTTGTCTAGAAAACCACTGCGATTTATAGTTAAATGCGTTCCACTTTGTTGTTTGTTGACGAGGTAAGACAGTGAGTGTCTACGTGGACTTACAGCAAAACAAAGAATTATTTTCTAGAAAATAAAGTAGGTTACTGATACCCAATAAGCAAGAGGTGGTTCTCATAACCCAGGTGGTCTGCTGAATAATCCTTTAGTGTATGAAACAATGTTTAGTGGGTTTAAGCCTCACTGGGAACACAGTCACACGCTGGGGAATACAGGTACATTTAGTTGATGAGTCCCAAGTGGGACGAAATTAGCATCGTGGATTCTACAGTTAGTCACCATGCACTAAATTACTTCAAGCAAAAATAAGTTAATCTATTTTCTGTGTACCCTGGGAAAATTTTGTCTTTCATCCCTCTCGCCCACATACGCTCATTTCAGTTGAATGTTATTCTCCACTTTTTATGCACAAACGCAACAGTTTGACCATTGATTCTGTAGTATCTTCTTCATCTGATTGTTGTGATGGGTGGAGAGATGATGAAAAGTTTAATTTTTGTGTTTGATTATCAGTCCTTCATGTGAAGACGTTTCACAATTACTCTTTTTGTTTTTAAAAATACTTTATCATACCTTCTGGGTACGAATCTCAGGAGGCACTACTATCACTGCTTGAGCAGAATGTACATCTATCTCTGTGATTGGTCAGACATATGATTTAGCTTGAATTTCAGTGTTCTTTTGTATTCCTTCACATTCCTAGTGGAAGATAGGGCTTCAAGCTAGAGGCTTGAAGTCTCGGTAGCAGTGTTTATTTTTACAGGATGGAGTTGCTAGCCTCATGTTCAACCTTTCCTCTTTACCAGCTTTATTTCCAACTTAGCGAGGTAAAGGAGTGCGTGGGTCGGGGATTGAACTCCGAAGCACATGAGGCGTGATTGGCGAGCGTCCTAACCTCTGTACCACAGACGCCAAGGAGTGTGTTAGCCTTCAGTGTTGGAAACTATTAAACAAACAATGTGTTCCCTTCGTTTACTTCTTCCATTAAAATCCATCCATTGGGTTAAAAGATCGATGATATGTGCTGTAATGAACTCCAACTTATTTAGTGAATAAGAATGTATACATATAGATATATATATTCACTGAATGGTACCATTCAGTTTAATATGGATTCTGTATAAATAGTTGCAGTTAAAACACTACTGACGAGTAGAGTAATGATTGTTCTTTGCCTCTTAGTGCTTGCTACGTGTAGCTAATTAGTCTGAAGTTAATGAAATATTCACAGATCTTTTATAATTGTCTAATAAGTTTTGGAAAAACTTTAATGAGTACATTGCAGTCATTTAAAACATAGTTTAATCAGTTCAGATATCATATAGTTGAAGATCATAGAGATAGAATTGTTGAAAAGAATTTCAGTATCACGCTGTTTAATTATACATCCTTTCTGTTGAATAGCTTCAGTTCATTATTGTAACTGGTCACAAATACTTTCAGACAGGAGAATACACCACTAAACCTATTATATTTACAAATTCTTTTCAGAAAAAGTGTATATATATATTTAATATATAAGAACTAAAAATTTCTTTTACACAGTATACAATTCGAGTTTTGATCATCGCTGTTTCCACACGACTATTAAATCAAACAGTCAACATAAAATGTCCCAGGTTATTTTTTTTTATTATTTTGGTTTACAGCTTGATTCCACACCGTATTTTCAGTACAAGTGTGGAATTTTCAGCATGGATATCGGTAGCCCAAATTCAGGCCGACCATAGATATCGGGTGTGCGCCGGCAGGGGATCGAACCCCGGACCATGTGCATGGTCGGCGAGAGTCCTAACCACTGTGCCACCGACGCACATAGAAGTAAACATTATTTTATATGAATCTACAAAAACAGATATGTAATTAAACAACGAGTTAGTAATAAAAAGCTTAACTAATCACAACAGTTCTACTAGTGTTGTCACTGAGTAACTGGACTAGCACATCATTGAAGAATTGTAACGACAGAAGCCAAGACAACCTAAAACAGAAATATTTATTGCCACTCAATATACACAGATATTGGCAGAATATGCCTACCATATTGTATATATATATATATATATATATATATATATATATATATATATATATATATATATATAGTGGTATTCTACTTTATCTTCTGTGTGGCTCCTCTTTATCTTCCTTCCATGTCATCCAGGTTGTTTCTTAACACATCGTTCATTAAATCTATATCTCCGCCATTCTATGGCTCTCCACGCTGATATACATGTTTATATATTTCTGAATCTATATACTACTTGTAAATCTTGTCAGTAATACCCACCAGAGAATGAGTTATGAAGTTAATATTAGATTACAGATTAGAATTTAATTTCACTTTAGTGAAAAAGAATTTCTCTCAGCTGTCTTCTAACTATAAAATAAGTAATGTCCAATTGTCATTAGAATTATTTATTATTCATTACATAGCCAAACTATGCCTTAATTGAGGTGGATTTAAGACGTTATCAGTACAGTAGTCGGTCAGATCTGTCTGTCCGTCTGTCTGTTTTTGACATAGAACTTTGCATAGATGTGTGGCAGTTCGGGTCGCCACACTCCCTCCGTGTATCACACAAAGCAAGAGAAGAAAGTAGAAGAAATGAAAAATAGAAACAGTAGACAGGGATATGGGACAAAAGAAATAGTAATGACAAAGAACAATATAGTTTCATTGGAAATTATAAGTCACAAGGGGAGTGGATGTATCTGCACCAGCCATTGAGAACGACTTTGAGCCATATCATCGACTGTCTCCAGCCATTGGTTTTTACCGTCCCAAGGACCCCAACCAGGAAGTCTACACCTTCCTACGCGACTGGGTAGCTGGCTTAAACTAACTGTTGTGGATTCCATTGACTGATGAAGCCATGTTTTGGTTTGACCACCTCTAGCTCTTTCCAAGCCTGACCCGATGTCAGCTAATACTGCCTGTCGAGGTAGGCGATGACTAGGTATGGGTAACACATGTCTTAACCATTTCAGTCGATGTAGCTGCACAGCCTAGTCTATTGATTTCCCCTCCTTACCTAGCACTCGACCAATGCCTAACCTCAATATTACTCACCTTATTATACAACTTCACGCGGGAGATAGAACGCAGGCACCTATGATCAAAGACAGCTAACCGCTCTTTTCATGTCTTCCACTCTCAATGGCCAGGTCTTACAGCCATCTGTCCGGTAGCTGTTATTTTAAAATACTAGCACGTTATTAAAAGTTTCACTTTTAGACATAAACACAAGTAACTAATTCATAAATAATCCTTACCTCAGTATGCATTTCCTTCGGTAGCTTAGTCGGCTTCATTGATGACACTACTAGCTCACTGAATTCTGAAGCTCGAAACTTGAAACGTTTTTCAATATTAAGGATTTCCTGTTTCTTTACATCTTGAATCTATCAGTTCAATAGAATAAATAAAGACAATATATATATTTACATACATTATTTTATGAATAAGGACATTGAAAATACGTCAAAATCATTACTCAATATATTAAATAACTGTACACCTACTTGTTCTCTCTCTCCAGTAACTCATTGAGTTGCTTAACTGTGAGTAAATATGGTTCTGTTTCTCCGCTAATTACAGTGAATAAATTGTTTTATACGATATGTGTATTTGAATGCTTCTGCTTGGATTCAATCGGAAGCTAGAAATGTGATCGGTTTTAATCAACCAGTTGTCAGAGTGATAAAATGAAATATTCAAGTGTTGGTTTGCGTACTGCTGAAGAATTCCAATCCATTGCCCCTTGACATTCAAGAGTTTTCTAACTGTAGTTAGTTTGGGATTCGAATTATGCTGGAAGATAATTATCTTTACAGGATTTTCATCATGAGCTGACATTAGTTAGAGAACCACTGGAAAACCTGGGAGTACTGGACAGCGGTTTCGTCCTAGTTTGGGACTCTTCAGCAGCTCATGATGAAAATCCTGTAACCAACCAAATCCCTACAAACCAACACTTGAATAATTATCTTTTCTCATAAACACTGTTGACATCAGAAGATTTAAATCTATTCTATGCGCGCACACACACACATGCATACCCAATCTCAAGATTGTTCGACTGATATATCCCTACAACTTTGTTGAAACACAAGTTCCATGTTTTTATTTTAATCGGGTTCAGTTCATTGGATTCACTTCAATATCCGCATTTAACCAAACGAAAGGGAATAAAGTTGAATTCGTTTTGTTTTCTTTTTCCTATTGACGTGTTAAACTTCATGAAATTCTTGGTGGCTCGCTTCACTTTTATTCCTATGGAATGTTATCGATGATATTCTATGTTCGAAAAATAGATAGAAGTAGCCGTTCTTCTTCTATATTTCTCTTTATCTTCATAACTTTGAAAAATAATAATATTCTGTTTATAAGATAATTCATGTCGCTTATTTACTTCAAAAAATGACTCAGTCATTTAAAGGTCAATATGAATACGTCTCAGTGCAACCAGTCCATCGACAACAGAATTCATATGATATGCTAAATGAGTTCAAAATCTGTTTTCTCATTTACATTTAAAACTAAGAGCTATCCGATCATTATTCACTCGCGAAACTTGTTGTGCTACGCCTTCTTCATATGTGTCTTTCGAATATGTTTGATTTGGAGACAAAGATAAATGGAGGGACAATGATGGAATAACTCTTCTGTTTCATCTGTGACATCATATCATATGTCTGTGAGGCCAAGTTAAACTTTAAACGCCACTGACTGCCAATCAGCGAATGACCTTGAATAGTCTAGTGAGTTTCATCCACGTGAGTTGAAGCTTCTCCATTCCGCTTGATTCGAGTCAAATGCCCCCTCTAACGCAGTTATAATTCCAGTTTGGTGAGGATAAGCTTTTCCAATATTGCTTGGATTACTTGGGTTGCTTCGTAAGGGAAGGATTTGTTCATGTGGAGGTGTTATGAGTATTAAAAGCTTCATTAGGTCAGCTGATGGATAGATATGTCGTTGTGCAATTTGTTTCAGACGAGTTAGGTAGTGTGAGGGAAGGTAAGGTGATAATTCCAACATTTTGTCAGAACATATTTTTTGCCAAGGCCCATCTGTCCTTATTCCAGACTTTGTATATTTGTAATTACTGGGTTTTAAATTAGCCTATAAGAGAGGTAAAGCTGCTGAAACTGAAAATAGTCTCGTTTCAATAGTTCAGTGGTACCGGCACACACCAATTCTGTAGAAGGCTTATGGGGAAGGTTGGGAAAACAGGATTAGAGCCATTAACGGACCTCAGGGGAATGTCCTTTATAGTCATTTAGATGAGTATATGTACAGAATGTGGTGTAACTTTTCAAGTGATACTCCTATGTTGAACTGGAAGATATTATTATCACATGCCAGAGAAAAGCACCCTATATAGCAGTTTGTAGGCATTTTGTTTTCATAAATACATGTTTTCCTTAACCAAAAATGCCTCCTTCATGTGATTGGTGCATTCCAGGTAATTCGCTGATTAGTAGTTAGTGATGCTTAAAATTTAACTTTGCCCTCTGTGCTTTCAGTCTGTTTGTAAAATGTTTCATCATCAGTTTGACAACCTTATATACTTACTCGATGTTAAGACGAATAATTACAGCTTGGAAATCTAATGATTTTCTGTCAAAAAGTTGGGGATATTATATCCAAAGGTTTTAACACAGACATTCATCTGAGGTACTCTACATTGATAGTGGTAAAACAAAGTCCTGATGGATACTGTTTTCACTCACGACGTGCTCTACAATGGTTATGATGTTCGGACGTGCACTGCAGTACAGTATTTCAACTTAACCACTATCTTTAAGCGGATACCCTTCGTTTTTCGAATTTGGCTATAGCATTGATAATGAGCATACATTAATAGGTTTTAACCTCTCCTAGTTAACTAGATTGCTAATTTTCTTGTCGGTCCCAAGCCCAGGTAAAGGGGGACAGTTGTGCATGGGGCTAGTAACCCCAGACTACTACATCTCTCAAACTGCCAGAGAAACTTCAAAGCGCAGAAAAGGCAAGATACACCTTCATCAACCTGAAATCATTTTGGAAATCTCCTACGCTCAGTCAGCATAAAGAACAAGATTCTGATTTTCAACACAAGTATGAAGTCGGTCCTTCTATATGGGTCAGAAAGTTGTACTGCGTATCACGAAAAGGATTTCCAACAGGTCACAGCAGATTTTTATCAACAGTTGCCCCCTTTGCTAGCTGCATACTGAAGATCGAATGGCCAGGCGGCCAGAAAGAACTAGTAATAAGAAACTCTGGCCGGGAACAAACCAACCAAGAGCCGATTGCTCACCAAATACGCAGAGCGAAATGGAGATTGATTGGGCATACACTGAGGAAACCATAGTATGACATCACGCGCCAGGCCATTGCTCGAGTGGAATCCAAATAGGAGATGACGAGTGGGTCGTCTGTGTGAGGGTGATATGGAGAAGGTCGTGTGAAAAAGAGATGAAAGATAATGGGCAATTGTGGGCCCAGCTGAAGAGGACAGCAGAAAATAGAAGAAAGTGGAGATATGTTGTCAAAGAACTATGTTCCGTTCGGAACTCGAGGAAATAATAATAATAGGTTTTGCTCATATCTCTGAAGCTTTGGCAGCAACACTGGAATTTACTGGAAAAAGTTATAGACAAGATAATGCATTTGGAACTATTCCTTCACGCTTGTTTAATTTCAAAGTAAAGACTGTCACTTAACCGAGAAGCCTTGGTAAATATTTTCCCCACCACCACCAAAAAACAGATATCTTAAATGACTTCAAATATTAGAAATTTAAGATGAGATGAAATCCAACAAGGCCAATTATTTAATTCCACCTGGTAGCCTCCAATGGAATCAGTCAAAATTATGCTTAAGATTTGTCCATTAGTTCATCAAAACAATCTGAATAGTGAGAGATACAGATTTACCAACTACTCATATTAACCAGTAACAAACATCGTAAATCTCTGCTCAACACTGGATAACAGTGAATTTACTAATGTACCTGCTGTCCTTTACACTGATAACTGACTAATTGTGGACACCTGTATTTCAAAGAATACCTGAATTCTCAATAAAGATTTAGTCAGTACCACTGAGCTGTACGACAACGGCACATGCCAAGTGATCCACAACGGAAAACTCAGCGAGGCGTTTGGAGTAAACACAGGAGTCAGATAAGGGTGCTTATTACCACCAATGATATTCCTAATTGTGGTGGACTCGATTATTCGTCAGACAGTGGGAAACGAGAAGACAGGGATATCCTGGACCGACATGAAGAACCTAGAAGACCTGGATTTCGCGGATGATTTATGTTTGATGTCACACAAAATCGAAGACTTACAAGCGAAAACCGACAAACTGGTCAAAGAAGCAGCCAGAGAAGACAGGACTCCAGGTAAACATAGACAAGATGGAGGTTATGAAAATAACCAACCAACAACAACAACAACAGCAGCAACATCCAGTGCCAATCACCATCAACGGGAGGGATTTGAAAGAGGTTACTTCATTCACTTATCTAGGGAGCATTGTCTCAACTACATGAGGAACGGACGAGGATGTCAAATCGAGAATCGGAAGGCGAGAAACACATTCATCAACCTGAAACCAATCTGGAAATCTTCGTCACTCAATATCAACAACAAAATTCGGATTTTCAATATAAATGTCAAGTCAGTCACTTCTTCTATACGGATCAGAAACTTGGCGGGTCACAAAGAATATTTCCAACAGCCTGTTGCAGACCTTTATCAACAGATGTCTTCGCTCTATACTGAAGATCAGATGGCCGGAAAGAACAAGAACCAACAAGAAACTGTGGGAACCAACAAAACAAGAACCAATAGCTCAACAAATATGCGGGAGAAAGTGGAAATGGATTGGACACTCGCTGAGGAGGCCGCTGTGTGACATCGCGCGTCAGGCCAGTGCTCGAGTGGAACCGGAAAGGGAAGCGGAGAGTGGGACGTCCAAGGGTGACATGGAGGAGATCATGTGAAGAGGAGTTGAAACAGTATGGATTAACATGGATGCAGATGAAAAGTACAGCAGAAGACAGAAGCAAATGGAGACGTGCAGTTGAAGCCCTATGTTCGACAAGGAACCCAAGAGAACAATAATAATAATATACTGAGCTTTATTGATCTTACTAGTGAGTGAAGCATTCTCCAGTCTCTCCTCCTTCATTCAGCTTATTAGAGTGAATATTTCAATTCTTTTTACTGCTTGGATGCATTAATTAGACAAAATTAAAATATTTCAGCACTCGCATTCACTTTCTGTTCATTGTATATGTAATCAATATTTTAATTAAAATAAATTTAAGTAGAATTTGAAGTAATAAAATTCTAACCTGAGGATGACTTCTTATGTTGTCTTCAAATGACTCTATGCTTCTTTTAGCTCGTCTATGCAATCCATACGGGAGCTGTACATCATCAAGACATTTTGGTGAAGAAATTTCGTAAACATTTGCAAAAGGCAGCTAAATGTTTGTATTGAAAGCAAAAATAAAAAATAGAAATAACATTAGGATTATTGATATTATTATGATAACTGAGAATTATTGTTTAATTTACTGTCAAAACGTTTAAATCTGGTATAAAGATTCACACAATTTGTTAACAGTGGACGGAGGTTTTTGTTCCAAACTGACTCTTGAGAAGTCAATGAATGCATCAAGACCAATTAGTTTCTAAGGAATTACTCAGATTAATAATAATAATAGCAATAATAGTAATAATAATAACTTCATTGAAGGTGACCTTCTCTGCGTTTTAGTGAGAAGTTGAGATTTTTGTAATCAGAAAATATGAAAATCAGTAAACATGCTTAAAACTCTAATTCTGAGAAAGCTTACTAAATGATATAAATTTAACAGAATAATAAAAATACAACCACCAGTTAAATGTTGACATCTGCATTGAGATAACTGAGATAACTATGAACTTTGGTCTATTTCCTTAGTTAGTAAGCAATCGATATTGTAAAACATTGTTTTGCTGCATCCCTTCAGCTTTTCACCTGTCTGTCTGTTTTCTACATAGAACTTTGCACATATGTGTGGCAGTTCAAGTCGCCACACTCCATGTAGCAAGAGGAGAAATGCATAATAAAGACAGCAAACAGAGGTGTGAGACAAAGGTATAATAATAACGGAGAACAAAACAGTTTAACTGGAAATGATAAGTCACAAGGAGTGGATGCATCTGCGCCACTGAGAACGATTTTGAGCCATGTCACCAATTGTTTCCAACCATCGGTTTTTACCGTCCCGAGGACCCGAACCAGGAAGTCTACACCTTCCTACGTGACTGGCTTAAACTAACTGTTGTGGATTTCATTGACTGGTGACATGTTTTGGTTTGACCACCGCTAGCTCTTTCCCAGCCTGACCCTATATCCACTAACATTGCCCTTCGAGGAAGGCGATGACTAGGCATGCGTAACACATGTCCTAACCATCTCAATCGATGTAATTTCACAGTCTCGTCGATTGATTTCCCCTCTCTCCTTACCTAGCACTCGACCGACGCCTAATGTGAATTTTGCTTACCTTATTATACCACTTCACACGGGAGATAGAACGCAGACACCTATGATCAAAGACAGCTAATCTTTTCATGTCTTCCACTCTCAATGGCCAGGTCTCACAGCCATAAAGGAGGACGGAGCGGACTGTTGAGCAGTACACACGCCTTTTGGTCGATAGTCGGATATCACGTCTACACTAGAGACGGCGTAAAATGGCGTATGTGAAACTAACCCTCTGTATTTGTGCTGAGATTTCGTCAGACATCAACCCATTGGTGCTGATTGTACTTCCCAAGTAAGTGAAGCGGGACTGCTTTTCACCTGGTATACAATTTATGCTGATCGAAGAAAAAGAATAGATTCTAACAGGAAAAGAAATAATCTAAACACCTGAATTGTAAACAAATACTCATTGAATCTGTAGCCAAATACAGTAGTCATTCAGATCTGCAATATAATCGTTAAGCTAAACGCAGCATAACACTGTTGCTTGTTGTATTAGTCTAAATTATAACAAAACCTAGAAGTTTAACGTCTCATTAACTGGATGTAATTTTCACCTAATCAATATTGTTATCATACATAGTATGTGTAAAGAATTTCACTAATTAGTGAGTAAAAATATTACAAGCTTGAGTTTTTTTATCGTATTATTATTATTATCATTGATAATAAATTTAAACACTGATGTTGAGACGTATTTTACGAAGCACTACTAAAAATACCTTCAGAAGTTGACTATCTGATGTTTATATTTTTAGGTCAAACAGACTTTGACCATAATTACATTAAAGTTTTTAATAAATTCTATGATGGAGGATTACTTATTGCGTGTGCTACAATACTTTTTACTACCGTTTTGTGCAACTCATGCAAGCAAAATAACATTCTCTTTCCTTCCTGCATAGGTGGTTGTATGGTAGTTATCAGATAAAGTGCTGAAATCAGCGTCATCGCTACTGAAACTAACTTCTTTTTAAATTAAGAAGTTATACGAATCGGGCATAACTCAACGCCTTCTCCTTCATCTCTTACAGTTTTTCAACTCTTGCATCTTACCTATCCTTCTTTATTGTTCACCCTTATTCTTTCCTAGGTTGCATAAAAAAGACTTTGTCACACTTTGTAGGGCTCTGAAAACTGTCAGTAGGGTGAAAGCTTTCCCACTGAGCCACATCGTTGACATCGTCATTACTGATAGGCATTTTACCGCAATCAACAAATTTACTAAAGGGATTTTTTCAGACCGTGAGCATCCGCTTTACCCGCAGTTTTCAGCCTGATTTTCCCCAGGTAAAACAATAAGTCATTTCAAAAGACTTTATGCGCACACGTCTAAGTACTAAAAATCTACGATACCATATACATGGTAGGTATTTTATGTGATGAGAATAGTGTGAGGCACGAACCAACCAACCTTCGTACCACTAGTAAATAAACAGTTTTCTCCACCCTTATAACTTCAAGCTTTACTGTTCTTTATTCTTCATATATTTATAATCCCCCCATTCTGTTGTTTATTTTCTCATAAGCGTAAATATCATTTAAGCTGTGTAATAATTGTCATTTATTTTTGACTTTCTCTTCACCATGTAATATCAAGAGAGCATACTAAAATTTCCATACAGTATCGGAAACACTGTTTGACACAAACATACTGTTAATATTATTAGAGATATTATTCTCATTTTGTATTTTGCATATTTTTCACTTTATTGCTACGGTAAATGTGGGCAAATTCTTGGTGGTTAATTTTATTTATACTGTGAGTAAAGTAGATACAATATTGTGACAAATTCTGAGAATTATAAGCACTGTTTTTTTTTAGAATAAAGCAGATTATTATTAATATCCTGTTATGCAACTATTTCAGTGAATTATGTAATAATTTCAAATGGTATGAAGTTCTTATCAAACTAAATTTAATCATTATGGACAGAGAATTAGAAACTGCTATCCATTTATAACAGTTCAGTTTCGAGAGTAGAAAGCCATTGCAGAAGATGAAAACACCTTCTCAACTGCAACCAAGAAGCAGAACTGAATGCAGTTTCGCTTCTTTTGTTAACAAGCAATACACTAGTTCCAGATTCTTTACGATTTCAATCAAAATAGTTTGGAACTGTAGAAATATTTGTGCGGTGTGTAATGCTTACAGCTTCTAAATAAGCAATTCAGCGAAAATACTTTGTAAACGTCACTTCAGAGCGCTTTTTCACTATTTCCGTTTAACTTTATCGTTTAGTCACTTTGTAACTTTACATTAAGTAAAGTGACAAATAAAGAAATCTCAACTAGGCCTTTCTATTGTCTTTTCTGAATCCCAATTTATACTTTCTTTGGATCCAAAGAAAACACGACTGCATATGCAACAAGTTAGTTTAGCCCCCAACATTATCACCCAAAGACTGTGTGACTTCACAAGTAATCAAACATTCGATATTAGGTGGTTGGAGCCAATCGGCAGGCGGCCTTGGAATTAGGTCTCGTGCTAGTTAGCACTCATCAGCAAGGTGTATTTGCAAGCTTAAAGGATAAGACGCACTACGCCAGTAGGTGTATAGCGTCTAATCGAAGTAACCAAACAGTCATTTAATAATACCTGAAAAATAACACAAAAATGTATTCAATATGAACAGTTTCCAAGTACTTGTGCGTCTTTATTATCCAAATAATTATAACATTTAACAAATGATAACATCCGGGTAAGGATAACAAAGCCAGATTTAATAAATTAAGACAGGCTTTCATTATTCTGAGTTCGATGTGAAGATCCACAACATTCAAGTCAATAAACAAGACACAAATTTACAACATTAAAATCGAGCCAATCCCAGACGCTACATGTTTCAGAAACTTGCCAAACCTATTCCCTAAAGCATTTTCAACCTACTTCAGAGTTTAAGCAACACCTGCCTTCGCTTGATACTGAAGATGCATTAGTCAGCTGGAAAGGATAAGCAAATTGAAACCATGGCAAGCAAGGAAAATAGCCAACAGTCTACCTCTGTACTAGTATGTGGAAGTAAATGGAGACGGACTAGACATACTCTGGGAGGACTGTTGAGAGTAATCGTACGCCAGGTTGTCAAGCGGAACCCAGATGGGAAGTCAGTAGATGGTAGTTCACATGTGACATAAAGAAATTGGGAGCTTCAAGGTAGTCACGAAGCCTGGTGAAAGTGACAGCAGAATAGCTCAGGACCATAGCAGTGTGACACAGAGGACAATTTTCAACTCAGAACGCTAGGAATGAGTGATGGCTAAGATGTTGCTATTGTATGTATATTTAATTTCACGCAGCCCCCGCTATATACCATTTAGTGTCAGTGTTCCAAGCATGATTTTTCGCACTGTGTTAATTCTTTCGTGATTTTGCATCAGTAAGTATGTTAACAAGAAATTGGAGTGATGGCAAATATGAGGACTAAACACCCGAAAGTCAACTCAGTAATTATCTGATTATTGAGGATTTAGGCACTCAAATAAGTCTTCGAAAAAGCAACAATATATGCATTTGTAGTATCGAAATTCCTAGTGGTTTTAAAAGTAGTTAGTCCACAAGGCCGAGGGAATTAAGAGTATTAAGGTCATGATTAGACTGGAGATACGGTTAGGTATCATTTAAATGCAAGGTGTAAGCCGATGTAATTTCGGGAAGTTGGAGAGTATTAAACCAATATATGTGTCAAAATACAATGAATCACAAATCATAGCGTTTTATTCCATCAAAAAAATGCGTTTATATACCGCTGTTTTCGTAGGATATGATGAAATTAGTGGCACCAACACTGACTTGTTTTCCTGTGCAGCTCTTAACTTAAACTTTAGAAATTATCAAAAGCATTACACAGAATGTAAAGTAGATTCTATTGGTGTATGATTCTTTATTTCTAGTCAAGTCCTGTGGAATAATATTCAGCCTTCCTCATGAAACATTCTAGGACGTTTAGTATTAGTTTTAACCTAATTTTGATGGGATTTATTATTACAGAGAGGATATTCAGGAAAACGCTTCTACTAAACGCAGACACTTACGATATTGTGCACTGGGTAAGTCGTCAACTAAGCCTCGATAATTATGTATTTTTGTATCACTTGGTGATCTTCAGAACCTCACCAATGGCTGTATCAAAATGATTATTACTACTATTATTACTAGAGACCGAGCTTATACAGCCAAGCAACACTAAAAACTGGTCATGATACACAAACAAATGTGATTCATAACTTTCCATTTTGCATTATTCAAATAAATATACTAATATTAATTAGTTAAGGTACGATACAAAAAATTCCAAATTAAATTTAGAAATCGAAGTGATGAATTCCTACAGTGTTTCAAGAAATAAGGCTTTTTACTGAACTTTTCACAGGTGTTTCGAGTTTTTCTGTCACATTTCTGCACATGATAAATAGAAATTGAGTTCAAATTAGGAACTCATAGGTCTTTTTAATTCACAAGTAGAAGCACTGTTGTTTTGGCCATTCACAAATATCTCACTAACAAGAGTCGTTTCCTTTTCATTCAATCTCATTCATCAAAGTAAAACAAGTATTCATTTACCGAATTCTTATGCTAAAAAGCCTCTTTTTAATTTGTACTGTATGTTATGTTGCAGGTGACAGGAGATAAAGCCAGACGACTAGTCTTACAAAGGTTCTCACTACTGATTGACTTATTAATGGTGATGTAAACTACAACCACCTTGCCAGGAATATTGCACTATTATTCCTGAGAACTCACTTCATTCAGGCCAGAGGAATTGAGCTTAGAGTTCTACTCTCCTAGTGGCCATTTTAGACGAAATTTTTTTTCTTCAATGAACATCTAATTACGGAAATTCTGCGTTAAAACATTTTTCCTTAACTGTTAAAACTTGAAGCTTCATTGTAGTTTCATATTATCTGCGTACTGCTGTCAGCTACTGCTAATTCCGTATAAAAGGTAACGATAGAAGTCTTAGGCGAAAAACGACTACGTTCATCGTTAAAACGTAAAAAGCTCAAGTATTCTGTAAACATATTTCACGCACACTTGGACTAGTTTAACAGCTATAATCGGAAATCAAATGTTCTGCTGTTACGATTACTACTTTTCATACAACATTATGATCACCTGGCACCAAAATCATCGCGGTTAATATTCCAAAACTTCTTCCTGCAGAGAATGTATTGTTAAACTCGTGAAAGTGAAAGGTAATATAAATGTGCGAAATTAAGCACTAGAAAAACTATGCTTCCTCTACAATATTATAAAAAACACTCATTTAATGTAGAAAGCTTCGAAAATTTCAGCAAGTTTTTTCGCAGTAAGTTTCGAAAATATACATTACTAACCTTTCCGATTACTGTACCGCCGAAATCACTAACGATCAATTTAAGTTTATCCTCAGGAAGATCTGAATCGATTGCGTAATACTTACCACATGACAGAAAAGCAGTTGGTATATTGCACAGAAGTACTATAGTCAATATGCCCAGCATCGTGCACGGCAAATAATTCAACAGATGAATAAGTGCGATCTTAAGGCTATCAAAATTTGGAGTAGTAAAACAAAAATTTACTTATTATTTTTACTCTTTATTTAGCAATTCGGGATGAGTTTAGGCTAGTTTGCCGGAATTTTTCAATCTGGAATTGTTGTAATGCTAATTCTTTTTCTGAACATTTTATTGAACCTTTGTTATACTTCACTTGGCAACATAAAAATTGGACGGAGAAATACAAGTCCTATCCATGCACAATGTTTTAAAAATTTAGCAGTATTTCGAACTATATTTAAGATAACTTAATTGGATTTAAACTGCTAGGTTACCCTCACTTATAAACAGGTAAACAAATGAAATTAACGATTATTCATAATGCATTGTATTGATACCATGAGATAGATTCCTTTTTCCGTTCGCTGTGTGTGATTCTTACTCCCTCTGTCTTTATTCAATTCACCCCATTTTTCAGTCATAAGAACAGTTATTTTAAGTTCGTTTCCATGCATTTTCTCCTGCTGACATTCATAATCCCGTGTAGTTTTTTTTCAAAAGCTCTTTAAATCTATTTTCACACCTCCTAACTTCCATTTCAAGTTGAAAATGATTATTTCAATTTTGTTTCCATGCTCATTTTCATGCACTTGTAATCCGTTCTAATCCTGTGTAATTTTGTTTCTAAGCCTCTCGTAAACCATATCTAGTTGAAAATAATTGTCACCTTTTATTCGCCTTCGTAATTATGTGGAATCAAATAAGAATTGTATCCATGTAAAATTATGTATTTAAATGCGATTGTACGGCTTTTGAAAAGGAAATCGTCGAAAAGATATCTTTGGTGAACTTCATGTCCTCCTCTTTCTAATGTCCTTATGGTTGCTTTCCACGATCTGAAAAAGAGCAAGGACCCTTTGACAGTGAAGGAACTCAGCAGGTTTGCATGTTACCCTGCCAAACTTTCCGAAGCAAATGCGAAATTGGACTTCTTCAAGAGATGTATTAATAATTGTGAATATCCCAAATGCATCTGGAAAGCGCTGCATAGCTAGATTATCAACATAACAATGTTAAATTTGCTGAATGCGATTGCAGCAAGTCATTAGGATGTTGAAGGTGTGAAGATGGTCACTATTGTTATCTTTTAACACAATTGTACACACTTAGCGCACAATTTAAATGATTAGCAGATTTAAACACGGACAACTACCCTATTTGTTGTGATATGATTTATATTGCTTAGTAAACATTACAAAATTGTTTGGCTACGTATGGTAGTGTGAAGGCAATATATCCTCACACATCCATTCCAATTTATCAAAGAGTTTAATTGCGTGACTTCAGATTAACCGCTGAGAGTAACTCCTCAAATCTGACTGTATATCACTCTGTAGGCTATCGGCTTATGAACTTATTTACATTTGGAAACTAAAATCTGTCAAGTGCTGACTTTTCTGACCATCTGTTACTTTCCTAGTTCCGAACCACGATGCGTGTCTCTCACACCGCAATACAGATTAGATTAATCCTGAGAGATATATTGATGATGATATATTCTCACTTTATGAACATGAGTCGAGTCCTGAATTATTTTTCACAGTTTAAAATTATTGGACTCATTACCATGGCTTAATAACTCTAAATGTTATTGGTTCAGATTCCCAGTTAACAGATTCCAATATTAATTTTTAAGTCAATTTTGTTCTTCTAGCTGACTGACTGAACCAAAATGTCTGGCTTCTGTTGACATGTTGAAACTAGCGTCCTGGATTACTATAACCACCAATCAAATGACGCCATGGTAGATTCTTTACTATTATTCTTATTTACTCCTTTGATTCTGAGCTGAACGCGGCGTTGTAATTACACATCCAGACTACAATTTTGGCCCGTTTTACGACTACCCACGGACTTTCCTTTTCATATGACTTTCTTCAGGTTAATACTGGAAACCCAGTGATCGATTCAGCAGCTCTACGAGAGAAGCCTTTCCCATATTCTACCTCTCTATCCTTTTGTTTTTCTTCAGCCACTTTTCACTGGGTTGATATTTTATCGAGCTCCTCGCGGATAGCATCCTGTTCATTTGAAATAGTGTTCTCATATATCTGTTACGTGTTGCCTCTTCTGATTCCGTTGCCACTTTGTCATAGTGCTGTATTTTTCCTTTTCCATCACTTCTCTGAAGATTGTAACGGATTCGTCCTTTCGTGGTTGTTCTCTGGAACACTTTATCTTCTGCCTCATCATCTTCGTCTCCTATATCAAATTCCATTTGCCTGAAGTGAAACATTCTGTGGTCTACATGTCGTTCGTGTTCAGAATATCTATATTAATTTACCTCCTCCCAATCCCACAGAGTCCCAGAGCTTTGGCGAGCCGGTTTTCTGGTTAATCCTGCATAATATCCACAATCATTTCCCGATAGCTTGATGTCGGCAGACACCACACAGTAAATGCTTGGTGTGGCCTACGGTGAAATGACACCAAATTCAGACTGGGAGTCCAATAAGTGGTGGGTTCATAGCACATTCTCACTTAAGTTGCCTATCAAAGTATATGGCAACTCCCGCCTTCCTTGTTATCACTATCTCCCCTGACCAGAATCATATCACTTATTCTGACTCCGTTGTCTGCGATAGTGGGGGTTGGCCAGATTTCAGTAGGGGTGATTATTTTAAGGGGTAGGAGTGACTTAAGGTTTCTGAGTTCATCTGCATTTCCACGCATCCCTCCAACATTGCCATGTATGCAGCTGACAGTGAGTCTCACAACCTCGGCGTGTTGTGGGTTATTATAATAATAATAATATAATAATTACTTTATTCCACAACAATAACAATTTACAGCATGGAATTTTCAGCGTTTCATTTTACATATTGCATTGGTTTAGCTCTGTTTATAATTATATAAATGTATAAAATTTTAAAAATATTGATAGTTAATAGGAAAAATAAAAACCCCAACAAAATACACCATTTCTAGGTCATAGTGAATAACAAATAAATAATATAACAAATCACACATGCAATAATATGCATCATTACATTTTATAGTTTAGTTAATGATTTAAAAGTTGTAAAAGTTCTTTTCTGATATTCGCCTCCTCACACAATACTCGTGCCAAATATGGTACGGTCGAATTTTATATTTTGTAGAACGAGCATAAATGTTTATGAAATTTCTTTTGGTCTTACCCGAAGAGATACAAGGAAACAAATGTGAATAAAGAGGATGTTCACTATCAGACAAAATAACTTTAGCTAACTGTTTACAAGAATTCATATGCCTATTGACAACAGTGTCGGTTAGTTGAGTCAAAGGGATAGCACTGACCCTACTTACAGCCTTCAATGTTCTTCGTAGTATTATATGGTCTTTTTTGAGTAGCCCAGGGAAGAATAATAGGGAACAATAAAGAATGATGGGCAAAACACATGAATTAATAAATTGTATGAGAAGAGATTGGGTTATACCTGAGTGCCTCAACTTCTTTATGTAATAAGTCAGACAAAATCTTTTTAGAAACTATAAGAATATGAGACGACCAGCAAAGGTTTGAAGAGAAACTAATGCCAAGATAAGAAACACTTAACTTACTCTCTATCATGTTACCATCAATATTACAACAATCATGAGATTGGATCAATCCATGCATGTCTTTTTCACTTCTCAAGCTGAAATCAACAGTATCACATTTAATTGGATTTAGTTTAAGACCATTTGAGCTAGACCAATCCTTAACTTCAGCTAAGAAGCTGTTCATATGGGAACAATCCGATGTGGAAACTACAGGGACAGAAACGGTCAGATCATCAGCATACTTAATGAAGTTAACTTTGAGTGAGTTTGGAAGGTCATGCAAAAAGAAAGAGAAAAGAAATGGAGAAAGTACTGCACCTTGAGGCACACCACTTTCAGTTAGCTGAGAAGTGGAGCGCTTTCCAGCCAAAACAGTATGCTGTTTCCTATCCTTAAAATAAGAAGACAACCATCTAGTTGCCCAGGTCTCTGTCTGTGCTGAAATCATCTTTCCTAATAAAAGTGTCCTAGGAACCGAGTCGAAAGCTGCAGTATAGTCTAAAAAAGCTGTTCGAACGAACTTAGCACCCTTATCAAGGCAGGAAACAATATTGTGGTGTAGTACAATGGCTGCATCTAATGTACTTCTTCCACACTTATAAGCAAACTGCTTAGGGTCACTAAAAGCTTTTAAAGAAGGTTTAAGAATATTCAAAAGAAGTTTCTCCATAGTTTTCAAAAAAGGAGATAATATAGCGACCGGTCTAAACTTTATACCTGCTTCAGAAGATGATTTCTGTACAGGTACAACCTTGATTTCTTTCCAGTCAGCAGGTACCGTTTCCTTGTTGAATGATGCATTAAACATTTGAGTAAGAGGATGACACAAGATGTCTGCACACTTTTGAAGAAGAATGCCTGGTACACCATCTGGACCAAGGCTGTGTGTTGGATTTAAAGATTTCAAACATAATAGTACATCCTCTTCTTTAAAACCCGGAAAATGACCATTATCTTGACTAGGTACATCAGGTACAGGCATATTAATTTGTTTCATGATAAATGATTTGTTTAAAGCATTAACATCAGAATAAGCATCAACAGACATTTGTTTTTTACTCGTAAGTTTATTGAAAAGTTTCCAAATGTTTGAAGGATTTTTACATGATAAAAATTTTTCATTATATAGTCTGTTCAACCTTTTTATTTCAATTTTTATAAGGGTGTTTATTTTACGGACACCAGTATTATCACAGTTCTTATACAACTTCTCTTTTTGTCTTCTAAGTTTTTTCAGCTGCAAAGAAGAGATTCTGTCAAATCTCGAAAAGTGTTTCATATGGACAGCAAATTTCCAAACAAAACTTCAGATAATCGGTTATATTAGAAACAGTAGCATCCAACTTATCGTCAGTAAATAGTTCCCAGTTGGTATCATACAACATGCTTCTTAGTGCTAGAATGTTGTCATGGGAATA